GATACACGAGAATAAGACGTATACGTTTATGCCAGAATATCGCTAATCACACTTTTTCGTGCTTCTGCGGATACTTATGCACAGAAGAAGGTACATTTATTCTCTATTAATAATGCATTTTTTTCAGTTGTATTCGCTGGCACGGATGGTTGGAATTTTAATGTAGTTAAGAATGGAACTTTGGAATTATATGCGTGAACGAATTCATCATTAACTACGTTTTTTCCATTACAAACTACATTTTCCCCTTATGTCGGTCAAAACTTTAGAACTAACGATAACTATATTGGACCTGTTGCTAAAGCTGGGGTAATGGAATATACATTGTATATGAAAGAAAAACCTTTTACCAAAATTATTGACATATAATCTTTGTAAAACGGAATAAATGTTTATGTTCATGTAATATTCGGTTTGCCCAGTAACATAACATAGCTGTGTCGAATAACAAATACGCTGCATATTATTAACAATTTCTTTATAACAAAACAAATCATAAATAAAATTCAAATGAATAATAAGAAGAGTCAAAATGAAATTTTGGAGTTTGTAACTCATATTTTTTTAGGTTCAAGCAACATCTGGAGTAAAGTCTGGCTTCTTGTTTGCGGAAATGGAAACCTGGCTTACGACGAGGTTAAAACAGCCGCTGGTTGTAGCTATGGTGGATTTGTTTACGCATATAATAAAATCGCAAATGATTACTATTCACTATACTATTGGCAACCTGGTCCAGGAAAGGGATATCTAATGGTGCTTTGATTTGTATAGCAAATGGAATGGGAGGAGAAAAAATGTTCAAGCCAGTGATGACGGCGTATTTGTAGCTCATTTATGGGATCTAAGTATTCTAAATTTTTAGATTTCATTAACAAATAATTATGTATATTTATAAGTTTTATTTTGTAAAACGCGTTATGCAATATTTATATTAACATATGCACTGTCTCTCTCAAGAATCTCTTTCTGTTGTAGGCCCTATGTAATAAGATGCAACAAAACAATACATTTTTGTAACGATTAGGACCATCTTTCCTAATTAAAAGTATTTTAACACTGAACTTCCATCCGGCATGATAGTACATAACAAAAAACATGATGTTGTATAAATATTTGCATCATAGCAAAATAGTACTAAAATTATTAATAATATATGTAAAAATATTTTAGAAAGGTTTGATAAATAATAAGCATACAAGGTTTATGATATTAAAATTTCCTTTACAATTTGCACAACAATTTAAAAAGTAGAAATTTATGAGGTTGATATCAATTTAAGCGTTAAGTAAAATTTGCATTTCGCGAGATAAGGAATTCAATTGTTGTCTTTAAGTTAACAGAGTTTTAAATTGTTCGGATGCACATAAATTCAAAAGTGTTATTTCTCTTTCCATAAAAATATTGGAAATTTGTCACCAATGCATGTATATAAACATCTAATTTACGATGATTTTTTTATTTTTTTTAATATTTATTTACGATTACATAGTCTTGTCAGCTTATTTATACAAGCTCTTACTTATTTCAAAATATTTACATAGTTTAATCTTGTTAAAGATAACACTACGTAATATATTACTGATCTTTATATCTATAAGGGAGGATTGATATCATCTCAAATCGGGTTACGATTAGCACAAAAGTAAGATTTTTAATTCATTTTAGAGTACATTTATTATTCCCCTGGCATTCATTTCTGTGCCTCAGCTGAACATGGTATAAAAAATATAAAAACTAGAACTGTGTCCAAAGGACACGGATGCCCCCACTGACAACATGTATATGGTATATAGTGAAAAAATCAACAAAGGGCCATAATTCTGTTAAATTTGGTCGCAGCAAAAATTCCTTCCTTTACTACAATCTACACATTAAGGTTGTTCATCCCTGGAAGTTTAAGCAAAATCTGCCATTCGGTTTAAGAGGAGTTGCGTTCACAAAATTTCTATATTGTATATAGTGAAAAAATCAACAAAGGGCCATAATTCTGTTAAATTTGGTCGCAGCAAAAATTCCTTCCTTTACTTCTATCTACACATTAAGGTTATTCATCCCTGGAAGTTTATGCAAAATCTGCCATTCGGTTTAAGAGGAGTTGCGTTCACAAAATTTCTATATGGTATATTGTGAAAAAATCAACAAAGGGCCATAATTCTGTTAAATTTGGTCGCAGCAAAAATTCCTTCCTTTACTACCATCTACACATTAAGGTTGTTCATCCCTGGAAGTTTAAGCAAAATCTGCCATTCGGTTTAAGAGGAGTTGCGTTCACAAAATTTCTATATTGTATATAGTGAAAAAATCAACAAAGGGCCATAATTCTGTTAAATTTGGTCGCAGCAAAAATTCCTTCCTTTACTACCATCTACACATTAAGGTTGTTCATCCCTGAAAGTTTAAGCAAATTCTGCCATCCGGTTTAATAGGAGGTGCGTTCAAAAGATTTTGGGACGTACGGACGGACAGACGTACGGACTGACGGACGGACGGACGGACAAGTGCAACGCTATATGCTCCCACTTTGTGGGGGCATAAAAACATGTTGTTAGGCTATTGGCCCTTAGTGGAGTTAAAGCATAACAATAAAAAAGATGTAAAATTACACACTACAAAGTTATTTGAAAAATTAAGAAATATTCCACATTTATACAAGAGATAACACTTAAAAGTGGAAATATTTTTTTCTTCCCCTGTTATCAAATACTCTAATCTTTAAAATATATGTATTTTCTTGAAATTTCAGATCATTTACTCGAAACGTTTTGTTTTCAAACTAATTATTCTAGTTGTGAAAAACGGCCTAAAACTTCGATTGGACTAAAAATAGCACACAATTACGATTTTTAATTTGTTACTGAGTATTTTTTATAAACTATTTTTTGAATATTTTTCTGTTGAAGTGTCACAGTTGATCCTTGTAGGAAATTTAAACTTTAATGTTTTTAGGATTTTGGACCTCAATGGAGTTCCTTTAATGTAAATGGGTACCCTCTAAGTTGCAATACACAATATTTCGAGTATAATTATACGATGATCATAGATTAAATTCATCCGATAAGAAAGGGAGTAAACACAATTTATCAACGTATGCGATACTATCCAACGTTTTTACATGCTCAGTGAAACAACACACACGAACATGAGTCATTGATTATTCCAACTCAAATACTTTAAAAAATGCAACAGTACTTGTGTTGTCATTCTAAGTCAACACTGCGTGGATTATCTGAAATGTTTCCCTTGTTAAAATAACAGTTGTTTGATCTATATGACCGTTTATGACATTTAAATTTCAAAATGGTATGGTTTTAATGATTAAAACTTCATGAACATTCATTTTTTCTCTTCACTCACTCATGTTTCAACAATTTCATGATCATGAACTCATATCTTAAGCCTTAGTCCATTATTACTTTATGAATTTACATTTAATGAATATGTGACGTTACATTCATGAAGTGTTTTTGTGAATTTGTTAACTTTAAATATAAATTTGTTTTAAGTTGAAATCATGAATAAATGTATTTGAATGTGTGCATCATTAATGTGTTATGATGGATTTACTAATTCAACATGTTATAATCTTAAAACATGACGTTGTAATAGTGACTTCGTATACTGTATTGATGAATTGATGAATTGTCAATATAGGCCTTTTGAAAATTCATTACTGTTTTGCATATACTCCGTAACTGTGAATATATAACACCTTTTTATTAAATAAGTTTCTAACCTTGTAATTATTTTATTTAACAATTACCACATTCGTGAAATAGGTCAAGGACAAAGCTCGTTTGACGTCAATAATTTTAGTTGTATAAAACGTTTATTTTTTGGAATCATTTTATCAAACTATAACATAGCCCTAATAAGTCCCTGTGTGTGTAAATGATATATAGCAATGGCAATTCTTTGACGGTTGTAAAGTGACTATTAACATTAGCTGGTGATTTTAATCATTATTAAAATGTTTTTCAACATCGATCAGTGTTGCTACTGAGAAAATGATAAAAGTACTAGTATAACCTGATTTGAACGGCACACATACAAAACTAGTTGACTAAACCTTGTTTTTTATTGTTTATAGATCTCTAACTGATATAAACATTTTTGAAAAACGAACTATGCATAGACACACACACTTGTGTGTTATCTTATAAGTGTCAAGGGCCAAATAACTGTTAACTTCCTTGTCATTGTATTTTCAAACTTTTACATCAAAGTGATTTTACAAAAAAAGTAAGATAACACTTATTGTATAAATGCGTACATGCAAACATAGTAAAAGCTCTCAAGAAGTTATTGTAGACAACGCGTTTACCAACGCTTTTACGTATTAACCGGTCATGAAAAAAAATGTTTTGGCGACACATAAGTATGTAAACATTTATCTAGAGTTTATATGCTTTGGAACTGACAAGACCCTAGACAGCTTAAATGCCGAACCAGACACAGAGTATATATTATTCATTCAATGTGATATGGAAAACGAATAAGTAGTTCAAGCTTCTTTCTATAGTATAATGAAATGAATATTAAAGTGGTCAGCTTATATTTTCTTCTTATAGTAGCATAATTCTTACATTATTGGCTTGTTTTGATTTGTTTTTCTTCGCTTTATCTAGCAAAGTAATTTATTGCTTTATTTGTGATTATTTTGTACAGTCATATCTTATTCAAATATATGAGTGTTCGTCGTACAACTACATTTTCAATACAATTTATCGACTCTTTTTATGCTGAATATTTTTTAAAAAATTATCCTTTAGGTTAGCCGTTTTCGATATTTTTGAATTCCATTTTGTTAACAAATTTACTAAAGAAATTGGGTGACAATTTTGTCAAGAATTCTGGTTCGTTTAACAGGCTATCAATTTTATTAAATATATTTGATTATCATGAACAATTTGATATTTACATATCATTTTTATGATGGCAAACTAATAAAAAAGACTAAATTGTCCTCCATGCTGAATAATGTATCAATTATATTTGATCATGTTCCATGCACTTTATTAAAATATTTTGGGTTGTTTGCCATGCTCATTACTATATTAAACATATTGAATAATCGTTTTCAATGCTGAACAAAGAGACTTAAATATTTTATAAAACCAATTTTACATTGAAAGATACTTTCAAGGACAATATATATTTTAGTTCAATGGCAAGATTAGGAATGTGATAAAAAATGTTACCGTTTATTTCAAAGTCTGACACGAGAACGAGGCGAAATATTTTTATTGGAGTGACACAATGTAAAGGTTTGCGAGCTTTTAATGTTATCTGCAATAGGCCTAAGCAAATACCTCGGATCCGTGATGTAGTTTAGTTGTGCAGCTTAAGTACGATAATAAAACATACACTTTGCATTTTAATGAAATGATTTCATATAAGTGCTTTGATAGCTTCATACACCCTTTGGACAATAAAAATGGATTTGTTTGTCAGGGTCTTTGTCATAATTATTCTATATTTAGGTAAGAGTAATCTTTTCTGTTTTAAAAGATGATTTTCGCCGGGAATATATGAAATAAAGGAAACGGAAGTTAGAAAACGTAAAGTCATTTTTCAATATACTTCTCATTAGATTGTCTTGTTATCTCAGTTGTGCTGTAGTTAAGGTTATATTAGTATATATCCACTAAAATCCTAATTCGATTTGACATTTATGAAAAATAGCTGTTTTGAAATTTTTGTTTGTTTACACCATTTACATTGTATGTCAAAAGATGAAGTACTTTCAAATTTTATATCGCTGTTTATTCTCATGCGACGCATACTTTTATTTCCATTATATTATTCTCACACTGGATGCATACCTCTCTTTTTTTGAACAAGACGCACAGTTATGCATTTGTACACTGGACGCATACTTCTATTTTTAAACACATGAAATACAGAAAAAATACTTTAAAGAATATCGGGTGTATCATAAGATAAATTTACAAAAAGTCAATCATACTTTAGACAGCTGATTGATCGGGTTAGGTATAAATGATCATATATCTGAATTATTCCAATTTGGATTGCTCAAGATTTCATTTGTTAGCTCTATTCATATTTTTAAATACAGCTACATACTGCATGAACTTTCTTCAGTATAAACTATTTTATGAAAAACTCTGAAACATGTTATTATCAAGCCTGAATGAAGAACAAGATATTCAATTCAACTTGATACACAGTGTAAATACACAAATTACATGTATTAAACGTTTCTGAATCATTAAAATAGGAAATATAAAGGAGTAAAGAAATCATCTTCGTCTGCATGTGATCAAGCTTGTAATAAATTGTGTCTTTATAGGGGTTGGTTAATATCATATCATCATTAAATTTTATTGTTTTAACGCAGTTTACTGACATTCAATATGTATGCAGTTTTTTATGTATATAAGTCAAGTGAATTAATTGTCACAAAAAAAGTAGCTTTCAGTATATTGTTTTTAACAGATCATGTCCATTTCACAATTAAATGCAAAACAAGAGCAAATCACCATTTGATAATCCGGTTGAAAATTTTTTTTTTGTTTAAGTGCCTAATGATATATTTACTGCAATGTTCATAAATCGTCATACGGCTAATTGGATTGTCATTGTATGAAAAAGTATATTACATAATCCAAAACCAAACAGTAGAATAACCTCAGTTGAAAGCATGTGACTTTATAAGATGACATTCAGTCTTACACCAGTGCAAACGCTAGAAAGTCTAGTCTGATATGTAAAAATGTATTTATAGATTGAATGATGTGTTAGAATGTATGTATAGATTGAATGATGTGCTCCATTTTTAACATCTCTGATATTGTCAATAGAGTACAATGTTGTTATCAAAAAATCAAAGTAGACCAAATTTATTGTCTAAAATCAGTGAAAAAATTTTACAGTAATTTTGTGTCTGTTATAGGAAGGACAGCAGCTTACAGCATTGTGGGTAAAAAACAACCAATCAGTGTCTTTATAGGGGTTGGTTAATATCATATCATCATTAAATTTTATTGTTTTAACACATGTGTACTGACATTCAATATGTATGCAGTTTTTTATGTATATAAGTCAAGCGAATTAATTTTCACAAAAAAGTAAATTTCAGTATATTGTTTTTAACAGATCATGTCCATTTCACAATTAAATGCAAAACAAGAGCAAATCACCATTTGATAATCCGGTTGAACAATTTTTTTTGTTTAAGTGCCTAATGATATATTTACTGCAATGTTCATAAATCGTCATACGGCTAATTGGATTGTCATTGTATGAAAAAGTATATTACATAATCCAGAACCAAACTAGGAAGTGGGTCAGCACACATTTAATCATAGTTTTACCATGCATAGTGCTCTATTAAAAGCCGAATAAGAACTTGAAGAATAACCTTTTGATATAAAGCTAAAGAATTTCAATTTGTATTTGCAAATAATATAGTTTGACTACATAAGATAGTTCTACATTTGTTTGAGAAATTTAAACTTATACATAAATACCAACATTTTGTTGTATTACATATCTTCTGTCATTTAAACAAGTAGGTAAAACTTGGTAAAATCGTAATAAAATATGTTCAGTTTTTGTCATAAGCTATAGGTAATTCTTCCACAACGACGACTATACCATATTCAGAGGCAACATCACCAACTACATATGCATATACAAACTCTGTGTCATCGGGACTAGAATCATCAACATCGTTTGTAGACACTTCTTTTTCATCCGTATTACCCACGGACGTCTCACCAAACTTTTCATCAACGACAGAAACCTCTACAGCATTTTCATTATCGACGTCTTCTGAATCAACTCCACAAAACATACGCACATCTACTATACTATCGACAAACACAACACCGACAACACCAATAACACCTAAATCATCGGCAGCATCGTTAATACTAACGACTACACTTGAAACATCATCAACAGAGAGCAATGTGACATTAACTCAGTCAACAATGACTACATTTTATGATTCATCAGCATCACCAGATTTATCAACGAGCACTCCGACTATACCTCATTTAACAACCGAGAACACTACAGCACATACAGACGCATCAACATCAACCTCGACTCGAACAAAGTCGACAGAGACTCCTACGACCAATTCATCAACCGATATCACCTCAACAACATCCGAGTTAACATCAGCAAGGACACTTTCAACTGATTCATCGCCCACAGAAATAACATTACCCACACCAGAAGAGAACACTTTAACAATTACTTATCCATCCGCCAAAAACACTATATTATCGGCCAAGTCAACAACTACATTACCAACAACTAATTCATCAACCGTTAGAACAACATCACCAGAATCTACAGAGAACACTGAGTCATGGACTTTCTCAACTATTGGAAGCCTTATATCATCAACTGATTCAGCAACGACAACATTGAACGAATCATCGACAATAAATATGACATCTTCCAAGTCATCTATGAACCCAACTGATTTAACAACCATTAAGACAACTCTATCAACCGAGTCCACAACAACAATTTCGACTGATTCATCGACCTTGGAAATAACAGAATCTTCAGAGAACACAACTTTAACACCACCTTTTACAACAGAAACTTTAACAGAATCTTCAGAGAGCACAAATTCAACACCACCTTTTACAACAGAAACTTTGACAGAATCTTCAGAAAGCACAAATTCAACACCACCTTTTACAACAGAAACTTTAACAGAATTTTCAGGGAACACAAATTCAACACCACCTTTTACAACAGAAACTTTAACAGAATCTTCAGAGAGCACAAATTCAACACCACCTTTTACAACAGAAACTTTAACAGAATTTTCAGAGAACACAAAATTCAACACCACCTTTTACAACAGAAACTTTAACAGAATCTTCAGAAAGCACAAATTCAACACCACCTTTTACAACAGAAACTTTAACAGAATTTTCAGAGAACACAAATTCAACACCACCTTTTACAACAGAAACTGCTACAGAATCTTCAGAGAGCACACATTCAACACCACCTTTTACAACAGAAACTGCTACAGAATTTTCAGAGAACACAACATTAACACCACCTTTAACAACAGAAACTGCTACAGAATCGTCATCAACACCAATAGATACTACAACATCAGCACTGATATTATCAACTACGACATCGACGGTGACATCTTCACCAACAGTAACTACAGCAACAATACCATCAACGACAATACAAACCTCAACAGAATCAACAAAGAGTTCCACGACGTCAACACCCATTGAAACCTCGTCGATTTATATATCGACATCGCAATCGTCAACATCTACTACAGATTTAACTTCCTCACCAACATACTCAACAGATTTACACACATCAACGACACAATCTTCGACGGCTGGTGACCATACTAATTCTTCAACGTCAAATACTTCAACAGAACAACTCACGACAGTACCAACATTTACCCGCTCGACTACGATAAAACCAGGTTCATTATTTTTTTATAAAATAATCATAATATATTTACAAGATTTTTAATCATTTATTGATGCGCCGTCAAGATTTACCCCTATCTTTTCTATTTATACACTTTGTAAACAAATATCATAAGCAAGTTTTATTTGAAAAACGATTTTCGTATTAAAAGGTATTGCAACAAAAATAATACTGATTATTTTTCGTGTAGACTGTGGCAGCCCACCAGATATTCCTTTTGGGTATGTTTATTTAGAAGCAAACGGATCTGTCGCCAAATATGTTTGTCATCCAGGATATAAATTATTTGGTAATGAATTCAATCATTGCAAAGCGAACGGTAAATGGGGTACGTTATCAACAGACCAAGCCAGGTGTCTTTCAGTAGGTTCGTTCTTCTTCAGTCTTCAACCTTTAGAATGGTCAGATACATCTCAATATAAGGCAGCTGTCTGAATAACCTTAATATGGAAACTAAACGTTTACTTATTTTACTATTAACATAATAAGTTTCATGTTTTTGTCAAAAACTCTTTTATTTTTGCACAAGCTCGATTGTTATGAATATGTTCTATATTTTAGATTTTTGTATTCCATTAAATATTAATAAATATTGAAGAATACTTTATCATTTTTTATGAACTTCATTATGAGATTATAACTTATAGATTGCGGTCCTCTGCGATTATCTATCAATAACAGTGAAGAGACAACATACATTCCGAAAAATTCTACACATTTTGGAAGTGTCGCCTTAATAAAATGCAAAGTTGGAAATTCTTTTTCAAATGGAAACACGAGTGCTGTATTTATATGTTCAGAAAAAGGTTCCTGGAATGTCAATGTATCAATAACATGCTCGCCTGTATGTAAGTACATACTTAAGATTGCTAATGTATCCATTTAAATGAATGCTTGCTTGGATTGTATGAAATAAGGTATAAGATTTGGTTCTACAAACTTACAAAACATATTTAGTTTATACAAATTTATTTTAGTTCGCCAAATCTCGAGTGCTATAGGAAAGCTTTATAGCATTATTTAAACTAACATCTAGGCTGACCGATAATCCGTTCTTGGTCAAGCAACATGTCACTAAAGCAATGAATGTAAAGTTTCTTGCTCAAGGAAACATTGGCTTCAAAGGGTATAATGATATATCTCATTATAATAAATATTTTTACACAATTTTTCAAAAGTAAAATTATGCTGTTCTCATAATGTTTATGGTCAATTCTCGAAAGAGTTGAAACATAAGATGTCTCTATTATTGAGCACACATGAATATTGTACGTAAACAGAATAAAATGTTCCGGGACAAAATATTAGTCTGCTATCTAAAGTAGGGTTTTTCCCTATAGCAATAATTTTGTGTGTGCCCCATTCACTTTTAATTTATTTATACAAGCAAGTTGGAAGCATTTTTTTGTAAAATTCTAACAATAATTTGTTGGAGCGAATTTATAGCTTTACACACTTTATGCTAATCTTATACCTGGATTAAATCAAGAGTGAAAAGCAATCTTCTAAATACTCATAATTTCGCTAGAGTCTGATATCAAAAATAAATTTAAAACAAAGTCTTTTTTTCAATAAGCATTAAAATATCACTGCAATACTGTTTATTATGTTCACAGATAATATTGTACGAAAAGGTACATCACTATATGTAAATATCTAAGATCCGGAACTTTCATTCGAATTATTCTTGATTCTATGACGTTGTTAAGATTGATGGAATGAATTTGATAGGTGATATGACCTAGAAAAACGGCTGTAAGTTCGCCACTAGGGGTTTGTTTTATAGAATAAACAGGTATATCATTTATTGTTAAAAACTATCGATGTTAAAACAATGCTATATTATAACCATATCAAAATGCCAATGCTTGACTAAAATGCATTTTGTATATGCAATAGAATGAACATTTAATTCAATCTCTTTAAAATTTTTAAATCTGTCCAGTATAAAGATACTTACACATTAATTTATACTCATTATTTAAGACAATTATTATCTTTCATCAAGTTTCTAGTTTTATTTCATTTTCCAGACTGCAGTCGCCCAAACGTCACAGACCAACCTACAATTTCAGATTCAAATGCTACTTACAAAGTTGATTCAGTCATAGACTATTCTTGTCAAAGCGGTTATGTATTAGAAGGCTATCGTTCTCGCGTATGTCTGAAGTCTGGACAGTGGAGCGGAAGTGCACCTAAGTGCATAAAAGGTAACATATGATGAACTCTTATCATTTAAGATTTTCGGTTGAAAATTAGTTTTTAATGACGACCAATAAGCATGATGAGCATGTCATACCAAATGTGAATTGCATATTCGATTAAACCAAACATGCATGTGGTTACAAAATTCATGATAATTCAATTAGTCACAAAGAGTTTCTATTTCATCGCTTCAAATACAAACGCCAGTCTAGTTTGCGTAAGTATATCTGATTGGTGTCAACTTGTGATCAGCGCAATACATAAATAGATGACATCTGATGCCTTTTTCTGTCATCATATGACGTTGCACATGTTACTTTACAAACTTACTGATAAACTGTTTGAAATAATGAAACTACATGTAAAAAACAGTATATTTTATATATATATTGACGTATTGAATACTTCCCTCTCTTTTTAATAACACTCAATTTCTAAGAAAAAATGCAGATGTAGCAGAATGAAATCTATATTTCAGCTCCAAGCAAACAAGCAAGTCCATGTGCAAAAACCACAGACAGCCATGGACAGGTTTGGAATGAAACATCTCCAGGCGAAACAGTAGTGTTCCCATGTTCCAAAATAAATCAAGGTAAGCATGTTCTTGAAACGATACAATTAAAATAAAAAATAATTCTGAAATTGATAATCTTACTGAACGATATTTTCTGATAAAAAGTTGAAAAGATTTAAATTAGTAGAACAATAACAAATCTAAATGGTAGGACATTAATATATAATATTTATAATATATTATATATATATATTTCATTACTGTAGATTTGTCTGATTATGTAACGAGGAAATGTTCAAAAGTAGGGAAATGGCTGTTACCTCAATACAACTGTATTAGAAAGGCGCTAGAGGATATTACTGAAAGTGTAACTAATTTAGTTTATATTCTGTTTTAAATTCTGTTTTAGTTGTAAAGACAATAACAAAGAAGAAAATCATACTTACTATTTCGCATATTATCCAAACAAAACATTGTATTTGATAAATGGATTAATGATAAATAATGAAAAGCAACGCGTCTTCCATCAGATGTATTTACTTAAATGTGTAAAAGTACTTTAGTAAATTCTACATTGTTTGATACATTTCGTTATTTAGGTAAATATTATAAAAGAAAAACCGACAACCGAGACTGTTGTTCATGTGCTTGATCAACTATCGTCATTAACCAATCAAACGGACAGCAACAAAACATATAGTGGTGAATTAGAAGCGGTAACGTCAACTCTTGAGGTCATAGCAACTATTGACTACACTAACATAACCATAAATGACAGTCTTTCTACGGTAATATTTGTGAAAGAATTATTTCATTTTTCTTTAATAACATGTTTTGCTTAATAGAACTTGAAAAAACTTCCTCGACCTTTCAAAATAAGATACCTTTCAGTTGCTTCAAATACAGAAAGAAACAACAATAAGTTATAAACAAGGCTAATCTTGCTAACAATCCAGACGGTGCATATTTGTAAGATTATTATTATTATAGTTTATTTGAACTCTTAACAATTAAGTTAGTAAGGCTTTATAGATTAAGACAAACTGTGACAGTTACCATATTAAGCCGGTGCTAGAGACATGAACAGTGACATACATAAAATACTGCCCGCTTTTATTTCTCAGTATTGCTTGTTTGACAAACTTTGTATTACACTTTGCCTCATTCTGATCTATCATGAATGATATATCTCAGTATATTTCAGCAAGAAGGCAAAATTTCAGATAATCTCAAGACACAAATTGCGTAGATTTGTTTCGTTCTCGGTTTAATTTCATTACGGATGATGTCGATATTCATAACAAAATACTATGATGTTAATTCAAATACTAAGGTTTCACCTATTTCGCAATGAATTTATGCATGCGCCATTAGCTCAAAAGGAAATAAAACAACATATTTCATATTGCAGGCAATGTATTCGAATCGTTCTTACAAAAACATTTGTAATCTAAGCAGCACAAATATATTCTATTACACTTAAGCGTCAGCATCTTTCGTTAAATCAATACGGCTTGACAACTGCATTTGTGACACATGCTTCATCTGCAAATTCTAATAATAAATAAAATAATCTAATAACCAAAATGTTCGTTACGATTTTATTCATTGACCACATCCTGCACTTTCTTCAATTTTTGTTTTGAAGGACCTTTCGGCTCTGAATATTCTCAATTTTAGTTTCATTTAACAATTTTTGAAGTTACCAATAAATGAAGCTTTAAATGTAAATACATGCTGGCTCGACAACAAAAATGTGTTTCAATTATCATTTTTCATTAACTATATATATACATTCAAGATGTAATGAAAATTACTTTAAAAAATATGACATATATTACAGTCCTTTTTTGAAACTACAATAATATTTGTGAAAGAATTATTTCATTTTTCTTTAATAACATGTTTTGCTTAATAGAACTTGAAAAAACTTCCTCGACCTTTCAAAATAAGATACCTTTCAGTTGCTTCAAATACAGAAAGAAACAACAATAAGTAATAAACAAGGCTAATCTTGCTAACAATCCAGACGTTGCATATTTGTAAGATTATTCTTATTATAGTTTATTTTGAACTCTTAACAATTTAAGTTAGTAAGGCTTTATAGATTAAGACAAACTGTGACAGTTACCATATTAAGCCGGTGCTAGAGACATGAACAGTGACATACATAAAATACTGCCCGCTTTTATTTCTCAGTATTGCTTGTTTGACAAACTTTGTATTACACTTTGCCTCATTCTGATCTATCATGAATGATATATCTCAGTATATTTCAGCAAGAAGGCAAAATTTCAGATAATCTCAAGACACAAATTGCGTAGATTTGTTTCGTTCTCGGTTTAATTTCATTACGGATGATGTCGATATTCATAACAAAATACTATGATGTTAATTCAAATACTAAGGTTTCACCTATTTCGCAATGAATTTATGCATGCGCCATTAGCTCAAAAGGAAATAAAACAACATATTTCATATTGCAGGCAATGTATTCGAATCGTTCTTACAAAAACATTTGTAATCTAAGCAGCACAAATATATTCTTTTACACTTAAGCGTCAGCATCTTTCGTTAAATCAATACGGCTTGACAACCGAATTTGTGACACAGGCTTCATCTGCAAATTCTAATAATAATGATAATAATCTTATAACTTAAATGTACGTTACGATTTTGTTCAATGACCACATCCTGCACTTTCTTCAATTTTTGTTTTGAAGGACCTTTCGGCTCTGAATATTCTCAATTTTAGTTTCATTTAACAATTTTTGAAGTTACCAATAAATGAAGCTTTAAATGTAAATACATGCTGACTCGACAACAAAATGTGTTCAATTATCATTTTTCATTAACTATATATATACATTCAAGGTGTATTGAAATTACTTTGAAAAATATGACATATATTACAGTCCTTCTTTGAAACTACAAGTAACTTGTTGAATACAAGTAATACTGAGTCCTGGCAAGCTATAGGCGACCAATCGTCAACGTCGCCAGAGGTTTGTTCTGTTTTACTAAACTTTAAAAAAACGAATTCAAATGATATCTGAAATTTATTTAAGAATAATTGAAAATGTTTTCCTAAATGAAATAATAAATGATCCTGTAATGAACATGGCAATTTTGTATTTCATTCATCATCTGTCTAAACTTGACTGGATTTGTCTGTAATGGCACTGTATGAAATATATTGTAACTTCCAATATAAGAGCAGCATTGTGACTTTTACGAAACTCGGTTTATGGTTTTGAACTTCTAATATAGAATATAGAATATTAAAATGATGAAAAAGACGAAACTTTTACAAATGTAATTTGTGACATTTAATGGTACAATTTTTGATTTTTGCAATTTTGTATGTTTGCTCAACTTAACTTTCATCTGCAACTGCTTATAAAGATATTTGTTATATCATGTCTTGTAATAATATTAATTTTGTGGAAAATACTGACCTTCTAAAGCGTTACTCTTAACACCAATTACTGTAGATACTGTCATAATACAATGTTTTTAATACAATGTTTTCTATTCATTTGTAAATTATAAAATCGCATTCATATAATTAGGCATCATCAGGGGCGTCAAAGGTTTTAGACGTAATTAGTAATTTCACTGATGCTATTTCAAGCTCATTTAATCGTGATGGAGGAGGGAACTTTTCAAAAACATTTGATAATTTAGGTAAGGATGACTTACCATATTTTAGTATATTTTCATATTTAGATGTTACATATTTATGTCTTGAGCATATTTTTATGGTAAAACCTCTTACTGATATTGAACATTATGCAACTGGCATTCAATCAGGAATGAAATATAGATAAGGTATTCTTCATTAAACGTGTAATTTGATATATATGTTTTTCATATGACTGTTATAAAACATCAATCTGAATATTGCTTATGATTTCCTGTTGCTCATGATCAGGTGTATTTTTATATTCGAAAATCAAAAAGAAATTAAAGAACTTTTGGACTTTTATATTTAGTTTTGGAAATAAGGAGTATTCAGGACTCACCGAATATAAAGTTTCCACCTACTGGATCACAAAGTGCTTCTTTGGATCTACCCAAGGCTTCTTTGACAGGTAATGCGCGAGGAAACAAACAGGGCGTTTTTGTCTGGTATGACGATGTTATACTGGTGTCGAAGTATGATTATTTATATAAAAAAATTAAATCAATTAGTTACCAATAACAAATAAAGGTTCATTGGTTTCTTTGTTACGCAAGAGTTATTTTATTTGTTCTTTGTTTAAGTGCTTGGATTTAAGTCATACTGACACTGTATACTAGTGTCTTATGGCTACTCTTCAACTTAGCTTGTGAAAGAAGACCTCCGTTGTCCCTTCCTATAGTTTTTTTTCAGGCATGAGCTGGCACCTGAGTGAGAAGAAATCACTCACATAAGCCAGATTAATAGCTTTCTCATATGAAAGTTACTGGAAGATCCGTCCGAGAACACAGCATTGAGGGGCTGTGAGGGGCAAGTGATTTGAAAGCGGGTACTTTAAATGCTTGGTCACAGAGGTTTTGAAAATATCTTTACAATTATAAAGCAAAAAGTTATATTGATATTGTCTACTTCATAGGATCAACGACCTATTCAGCTGTTTTATACAAAAACCTGAGTGGCATGATGTCAATAAATACAGCTTTTAGTGGGTTAGTACCATATCCTCTAAGATTGATTCTTTTCTTCACCTTATTACTTAAGAAAGCAATATTTCATATAATTAAAAAAAACTTATCAATTAGACAATGAAATAGAAATTGAAAAAAGTAATTGACATTATAAATGTAAAAAATAATGTGAAGATGTTTTAAGAAAATCTTTCGGACATTCAAAATAGATTTGGTTACTGAAATTTATGTTTTATCAACTTGAATTTATCGTTACAGAAATGACATAGAACTCGGCTCGTCAATTATGTCAGTAAAGTTGGACAGATGGACGGAAGTTAAAGACTTCAATATTACGCTAACATTCCAACACTTTGAAGTATGTTAATAACAAAACAAAAGAAAACAATTATTGATACAGATACAAAATGACACACTTTACCTGCAAAATAGTATTAATACTGTCTCGTATGTTTATGCATTTAAATATCTATCAGCAAGGTTCAGTATTTGTTTAATTTAACAATAGAATGTGAATAATATGTGCCCGTTATAGAACTTTACAATGTTATTTATCCAGGATTGCTATAATTTTCTTGCCCATTACGATGATTGAGTTAAAGATATAAAATTTCAGAGATTTTGTTCTTAGATTTAAACCTATAGTTTGACGCGTGAATTACCCAGATAATTCTTAATGTAACTATTCTTGGCAATTTCATACAATTGGGATGTTTTGTTATCGCTGCAGAGCACCTTCATATTTCAGAACTGGAAGAGCTACTAAATTCTAATTGACAATATATTACACTACTCTTTTTTCACTGTCATATCTCTTGCATTTACATATGATCTAAAAATAGCAGCAATCTTATTGGTCCACGCCGTACTCAACAGAACAAACTATAAGCCATATTCGGTGGTTGTAGTATCATAAAAACTGGCTGAATTTGACTTTCTTGATCTAAAATAGAATCAGGCTCATATATAATGACCAAACAGCATACATGTACAATTAATTGTTGGATGCTGTAATATAATAAAATTAATATATTTTATATTTTTCGATTGAAAATCAAAGATAAAATTGACACCGCAATGATAAGTACTTCAATATTTTAATTATTCTTTGCACAGCGTTCGCACAGCAATTTAACGCCTGACTTTATCTTTTAACGAGCGAAATTTTCAAGCGTTTCAGAGCTATATATTTACCTGTAGAATGTCGACTGTGGCTTGCGTCAATATGTCATTCTGCCGATGAAAATAACATCATAATCAATGGATCCCTAGTCATTATCTGTATAGTTTTGATCTACTGAGGAAAACTTTTCTTCTGTTGCTGTGGTGTTGACCTTTATAAGTTGTATAAATGCATCTGATATAAAAGCATTACTAGTGATGCGATCGCATTTCGCTAAAATGGTAAACAATCAAAAGGTAGGCAACTTTTCCTAAATTAATGTTAAATCGTTGGATAAAAGAAACGTTTACAGTTGATCTTGTTTTAAAAGCATTTAAATTATATTGTTTTTGCTCTTATATATTAAATATGTAAAAAAACAATGAAAAGAATAGAGACTCTAACAATTGTAATTTTACTTTTCAGACTGGTCAACAGTTATCAGCAACATGTAGTTACCGCAATGCATCAAGGTAAACAAACCTTATACAGATCTGTGAGAAGTGAGAAAATCACTATCAATCATTTGACATTTACAAACAATATAACCTCTGGCACCCTTTCAAAAATCTATTTTATTAAGTTTCGACCATTGTCAATTCGTTTAGGATTCAGATAGTATTTTACTTTGGAGCATGTGTCAATGTCACAAAATGGCAAAAACGTACCACATAGAAACACACATAATAACTACCGTATTAATACATAATTATGCAGATGTTCTTAAATTCGAATTTTCACAGTTTTTTGTTATATTTTTGTTTTATTTCTAAATGTTCTGAATGTTCTTTTAAATATTTACAAATTTTGCTTTAACCGATGCTAGGCTGCGGTGAAGTTAGTCTGCACTTATTACTACAATCCAAGTTCAAACAGAGCATGCAACATTTTATTTTTGTAACTGACTTAGTACCTTCATAATAACCTCCATAAACCTATTCTAAAATAATATGTGAAACATATAGTCAATCTGGCGGTAGGGTGTCTACCTCTTAATTCAGCGATCATGAAACTAAAACAAATAGTTTAAAAGGAACACATTTTTAAAGAATTCAATTCACAGTGTACTATGGGGGAAAGATGGATGTAAAGTGGAGCATTCGGATAATAACGAAACGGTTTGTGAATGTGATCATTTAACCAATTTTGCGATCTTAATGAGTCCATGCACAAAGGTAAGGTGATATAATATATTTTAGAAACAACAATATTTAAATCATATTATTTTATAGTTAGTTTACTTACGATTTGATCATGACAATGAGACAAATACATCAATACTACATTTTAACAAAGCGAATTTTACAGTAGCTATGTTTTACATATGTTTCAATTTAAAATAATGAAATGTTTATGTATGAGTTGACGCACACTCCAAATAACTATAAATACAACCTTTGTTCTTATAAATGCTTCAAGGGAGCATTTTATGTCCATCTGCAAGCTGTTTTTTTTAGCTCGAACTCGGAGGTGTTTTATCATATAACGAATTTAAAATGTTCGTATGATGAAGTCTTGTCCTGGATTCCCGCTTTTCCTTGTTTGTTTAAACGAAATGGTTTCTAATAAAAGAACAGAACTCCTTCTATAAGTTTATAAATAAAATACACACAAAACAATATTACCGATTTAAAGTCTGTCAATAGTTTCCGAAGAGGTGATCGTTTTGTTAACATCTTTTCTAATTACTATAAAGAAAGCTTTTTCGTGGAATAGACAATCTGACTTAAGTTCAGATCAATTTATTTCTTTTATGTAGATCTGATGACGACCGTATATATTTCGCATTCTTAACAATTCGGATTTCTCGAGAAATCTATTTTTAGCCATGCATTCAAACCGTTTTTTACGTAGGCATTAGAAGAAGTATCAAAATACCGTTATCTGTGTAAGTTAAACAAATTGCTGATTTTTCTTAGAAAAAAAAATGTTTTAAGTTATTTTTAACAAATTAACTTTAAGTAATAGAATCAATTTTTAATATGCACGATTTTTTTGCCAGTTTAATTACCTGTCGGCTATATGGACAACGCCATGTTTGTTCTTGAAATCGTGAAAAATACCTATTGAGTATTGGTTTTCCAAGGGTTAAAATTAGAAACCACATCGCTTCGTTTTTAAAATTATGAAAGCTCTCCGATGATTGGCTGTATGATAGGTCACAAGAAATGACTACGTATTTGGTCACGGTCAGATCTCAAAGCGGAGCGTTATTTAGAGGTGATATTTTAATCAGATTGAGGGAATATATGTCTTGGATTTGTATTATCTATGGCGCTGTCTTTTTGTATGATGCTAACTTGAGTTCGAATGCTACACAACTGGTATTCCTAGCATACTTGCATCTAACTTTAATCATAATCTTCATAACAGTTTTATAAAAGATCTGGCTAATGGATGAAGAAAATAAATTTGTAACTGATCCGTATTTATATGTTAAGATAACAATAATGCATTCTTTGTTATTGAATTGGTAGGAGAATGTTGAAACGCAAGCAATACGTATCATATCAATAGTAGGCTGTTCCATATCCATGTTGTGTTTGATAATAACGATGCTAACACATATATATTACTGGCAGTAAGTATGAGCAACACAACAAATTTAATTAGCTCATCAGTTAAATGATGAAATAAATACTTCATTTATTTTGCTAAGAATAACCTTTTCGTTTTTCAGAGCACTCATTTAGTATAAAGAGACATTTGATCATTAATTACACTTGCAAGGTTGTCACTGGTATGATTGTTAGAAATTGCTGACATTTATAAAGATAAGAACGAGAAATTTTGGATTATAAATCTCCGACCTTTTACTTACATAAAGTAAATCATACTCAATACTTGAATAGTTGTATTAAATTTTACATTTACTTTATGGATCCGGATAAAATCTTAGTCTATCCTCTTAGTTTCAAATTAAAAAACAAATTTATCATCATAAGTTCTTGTCAATGATCTTTTCTTTTATTCATCGAGGTAGTAGCATGACATTCTTTGAACGTATTAGTAAGTCAGGTTGTTGTTTTATTTTTACATTGATTCAGGTTTGTGAAATCCGATCGTGTGAAGATACTGATGAACCTTTGCTTTGCTTTGCTGATTTCGTACAGTATATTTCTCGGCGGTGTTGATAGAACAGCAAATAAGGTAATTTCACTGAAAGCATTTAGTTCATAGTATCACTTAGCTTACTATATATAATATAGACGTTATATCTTGTCTGTAAAATAAAAATTGTTCTTTTCGCAACATTTGCTTATATATTATTATTAGAAAAAATTGTTTCCCATAAACTGTTAAACAGTGCGAATGATCAACAATAAGAGGCAAAGAGATGCTAGGAAGGTACCGTATATGCATAGAGAAATATGACTGAGTAAAAGGTAGGACACACAATACGGTGAAATTTAATTTTTCTAAACAGCCAAACTTTTGAAATAGGAACCTCAAACTGTGCGCATAAGGAGGCAATAGGGAAATAGGCATTTATGAGTATCTTTAATGGAAATAAATGTTTATCAAAATGAGGAGAAAAAAATCAACACTAAAAGATAACATGATTAGGTCTGCCTCTCTATGTCATGCCGCCAATACAAAGGACTACAATGGAAATAAGAGCTTTTTTGCCCTTTTTTGTGTTATCCTTGGTTTTGGTGAGCATGTCATAGTTTTCTCGTATGTGATATAGTATTTAATAATGCTCATTATTTTATCCTATGTTATATTGTCAACTATGTATATGCTTCCTTTGCCGAAATAAATCTATCTATCTAAGTATTTGTTATAAAATGTGTGTTTTTTCAGGATGTCTGCACAACAATTGCGGTATTGTTACAGTACATGTATCTCGTGGTGTTTTTTCTAATGTTGGTAGAGGCTGTAGAAATATCTTTTGTTGTTCTTTACGTGTTCACTACTGAGTCCAGACTAAAATGGATACTACCATTAGCTTGGTGTATGTCTTTAGTAATCTTTTCAGTTCAGTTCTTGTTTCTCTTAACATATTCACAACACAACTTTTCCAAATTCTAACGTTCTTTGGTTTGTCACATCTTTCTCTTTATACAATTTTAATCATTACGAGCGTTGTTTAATCTATTTTCTATTCTGTTGTCCTTTTTTTATACAGTAAAATCAATCATTATCAATTATCTTTTACACACATGTAAGTTACTTAGTTTTGTTAAAGTAAAAGTCTATCTTGTAAGAGTAACTACAGAATTTAGGCAAAAAAGTTTGCATTGTTTCTTTTTAATTTAACTTTATAAATTTAAGAATATATTTTGCAATGCTATTGTTTTATGTCTTTTATTTCCAAATATATATTTACTTTTCACATTTCGTGTTTTCAGTACTGCCAGCTGTAATAGTTGGCATATCTTTAGCGGTTACTCAGACAAAGGGCTATGGAAACGATAAATCGTATGTATTTCCTATTGAATAAACAATATGGCATCGCATTTGTCATAACTTAAATCCTACGTTGGTTGAATTGGTTCAGAGAAATAAAGTTTTTACCATTTATTTCATTTGCAAGCATTTAAAACATTTATAGCATCGGCTTAGTGATTTTCTTTAAAATCTTAGCTTGTATTGACTCATCCGATTATTTTCCGAAAGAAATGTTGTCTTAAAATATATCTTTCACATATCAGATGCTGGCTTTCAATTGATGATGGACTCATATGGGCTTTCGTAGGACCGGCCCTTTTGATAATTTTGGTATGTTATTAGTAACCTTACACTATTTAATCATTATGAAATATTGTTCCCTCCTGCTTGTACAGATATTTTTGCTGTGACTGGCATGAATACATGTAACAATAAATTGATTTATTATCCTCTATAATTATATTTGCCTACAGTTTATTTATGTCGGGAAACTAGTACACTGTGTACACTTTAACTCCTTTTTGTTATCATATTTTATTACATGACTTCTCTTTTTTGCTATTTCATTTCCAGTTACTTTATATTACATAGGTGTATTATTACATCACTCTTAAATGAAATGTTTCGCTTAAATCTAATGTAATAGAGTATGACATTCATTTTCATTTGATATCAACCTCTATGGGACTGGTAGAGAAGGGCACTAAATATCATTTTATCATGAACTCAACTTTTTTAATGTGAAGGTTTAATTCAAGTATCAACAACTTAAATAACGGATCCTATATACCTTATTTAGCTTTAAAGGTTTATAAACACCATTAATTTAAAGAAATGTAGTTTTTGTTCTTGTTTTCCCAGTAATGTTATTTTAGATTTTCAAAGACTTGTTTGCTTTTTATTTTTTCCTCAGGTGAATTTTATTCTGATAGTTCTTGTGTTGAAAGCCATTTTCAAGACAAAAAAATTGTCACAGAAATCTCTGAAGGGAAGGACCATGTAAGTTTTTGTTTTAAATATTTTTTTCTTTTTCTTACCTTACATAATTTTAGTAGATGAAAAAGTATATATGTTACAATTTTATTACTTTTCATTATTGGATTTCTTGAAATGTAAATTCGTCCGTGACACTCTAGAATTGAAATAGTTATTGGATATATCTCCGACATTTAGAAAAATACGTATGTTCCACATTATTTAGATCAAATATAACGTGTCTTTGTCATTATTTAGATACGTATCTCTGACATTATAAAGTCAAATACAGTAAACTCCGCTTATAACGAACTCGCTGGGACATTCAAAATCTGTTCCTTATATCCGGAGTTCCTTGTAAGCATATAGCGAATTAGTTCCTTGTATCAGAAGTTTTTATAGCGAACAGTTTTACATATAACGAACTAATTGTTTACCATCGTCCTCCATTTAGAAGAGCATTTGATTAAGAGAAATAACTCTTGAGTTCGTCATTGTTGTCTCCCTTATATTGATTAAGGAATAATTGCAATGTTGTTTCTTTTTAATATAATTTGTATGTATAAATATATCTATAAGATAATTATATGATATGTACCATATATGCAATATTGTTATTTATTAACGATACAGTATCATGCACAAAAAAAATCACTTTGCTTTGAAGAAGTCGCTAATTTTAGTGTGGGAATGTTTACAACTCTTCAGGTTAAATTCAATATTCAATAAACTTTTAAAAACTGTTTTTCCAACATGTGCATTAGACTCAAAGTATAACCTAATCTAGTGCAAACAATCAATAGCTTCATTTTTTGACACAACCGGCAGATAATCTAAATATATCTCGTCTTCGGAAGATTGACTGTCATCGTCATTATTTGTTCCTAATATATCCGCTACATTCGGCCAAGTTGTAATCTGTGCCGATGAAAACGAAAGTAGAAAATGCGTGATCTGTTTACGGATAGCCAATATTTGGAGTTCGTTATAAAAGTGTAATTTTCTGTACTTTTTATGGCATTGGGACTAAAAAATGAGTTCCTTATAAGCGATAATTCCTTATAACCGTGTTCGCTGTAACCGTAATTTTTTACATTAAATAAAGAAGGGCAAAATTCGGGCCAAAAAAATTTGTTCCTTATAACCGGAAGTTCGCTATAACCGTGTTCGCTATATGTGAAGTTTACTGTATATCATATCTGTGACTGTGTTTGTACGATTAAATATACGTATATCCGACATAATGAACAACAAACATAACGTAGATCGACGACTTAATAAAGTCAATAACATCGTATCTCCCACATTATAAAGATGATACGTCTCATCGACATAATTATGGTCAAACAATATGATATCCGACAATTTTATATCAGACATAGTTCCGAAATTATTTAGTTCAAAAATACGTATTTTTGACATTATCATGATCAAACACATGTATCTTCGAGATTATTTATTATAAAAATACGTGTCCTGGTCATTATTAAGATCAAACATAACATGTCTCTGAAATTATTATAATCAGATGATTCACATATGAATATTGCCATATATTTCAGAGCTGGTATTCGTTGTCTTTGTGTATTACTTCCTCTTGTTGGCTGCACCTGGGTTATCGGTATATTTTATGTGAATGAAGACTTGGCGTGGATACAGTATGTTTTTGCACTCTGTAATGGGCTTCAGGTACAATAGGATGTTGTTTTCCTCGCATTGAAAGCCTTACACAACACCCTGCCTCTCTTATCATAATCTTTGGTTTTATATAAGAAGGATATTACCCAATTTTTATTCAAATCTAAGCATACACCAAATACTGGCCTATGATTGTAAATGACCTATTTATCATTTAAATAAATATTGCCAAAATGAAATAAATGTTTAAATTCTTTAAGGTACCAAACACGCATTGTTTTGTTAGTCTTATTCTATTTTAAATATCATATTAAAGCTAAATAAAATTAAAGGGATATAGATCGGATACACAGCCATTTATAACACACAAACATTGACCGCTGTTTCTTCTTGCTTTATTTCATTCTTGAATTTTTGAAATTAATTCCTTTTATAGTTATTTATTTGTTATTTTACGTTTCAGGGTTTGGCAATATTCGTTTCCCACTGCTTACTTAATACGCAGGTAGAGTACAAACTGATATCATACTTAAACTTAGTCTATTGACTTAAATCAGTTCTGAAAAATATATTTTTACCATTTCTTTTACCGGACAAACTTCAAAATTGTTTTATACTTTCATTTATTGAAAAATATCTTTATATATTTCAGATAAAGCATGCTTACCAAAGACAGAAGAGATACGCAAGTTCTGGTCTGTTCACACGGTCAACTTCAAATCCAATCATCACTGTAAGTGTTTTTTGATATATCTCTATATGTAAATCAAGTATAATGGAAATCTCCCTCATTGCTGGATTCGAACTCACAGCAGTGAGGGGCTAGTTGCTGGTCGCATCTTCTCAGGCTTTTGCTAAGAGCCTCGAACAGAATCGTAAGAATACGAATATACGAAACAGATACGGTGTTTCGGCCAAATTTACGCCAAGACACTTACCTTAACAAAAAGTAATTTCATGCAGGGTTTGAAGACTAAATTTATAACAATATATCGAGTAAAAGGCCACCTAAATTAAGTAAATATAAGATATAACGTTGACAGTAAACATGACATTATTTACATACTTATTATTATGGTTGTTGTAACTGAAAGTACAAAATGTCTGTTGACATTGATTCGGATTTGGTTATAACTGTACATCAGTGGGCATGTTTAATCGATAATGATTGTCAGACGTATGTTCTATCAGAATTTTACCGGAAAATTCTAACGTCATAAATAAAGAGCGTCATTAAATGATGACTTAACTGCGGTCAAAAAGCTAAAAAATTGATAATTCTTACATTAACGTCTTGACAAATATAAAAACGGTATACAAAAAGATCGCTTTTAGCCCGTTATTAGCTCGATTAATGAAAAAACGACTGCTTATATACGGTTTTCATTTTTGTATTTTTTGCGTGATAAAATGATAATTAAGAAGAAAATTGAAGAAAGGTATTATAATAATAATAATAAAAAAGAAAAAAATGAAAAACGGAGAGAGTGATTGGTGTGTTTTTTCATGTAATATATTGGTCCTATCCGTCATTAGATAGTCAAAAATATTTCAATTACTGTTATAAAAACTCATTTGGCTTGATTGTGTTTATGACTTTATTAACTGAATAATAATTGTACTTAAAGTAAACACAAAATAATCATACAACTCAATAAAATAAATGCTAAGCTTGCTAATTGTATTTTGTTTCTTGGTTTTAATCTTTAATACATTGCAGTCCAACTCATCAACATCAGATATATTCAACAGTATCAAAGATAGTTTTGGATCAAAAAGTATGTTCAATTTATTGTTTATCTAATTTTAAACCATTAACTAATTATCATTCATATAAACAATTTCTTTCGTCTCCCTCAAAATATAATTTGAATAAAGTGTTGCTATGTAGTATCACAGTGTACTCTCCAGTGTCAGCTTTAACTTCCGCTTGTGACTTACATTATATGTAAAGTAGTTCAGTGAAAAAGTGTTTTTATGTAAACCATAATGCTGCATTTGGCAAAACCTACAACTTTGAAAACAATGCGATTTGTCACTTGAATTTCTAAAAGAGTCTTTTTGTCATCTGCAAGGACCAATTTCAAAGTATAATATCTAGCATTCCTTCGTATTTCAGCCAAAACCTATCCTTGTTATAATGGTAACAATCCTCCATGATTGATCTTTATTTAGCTTATTTATCAAATTTCTGTACAAATCGGCTATTTTTACTAAGTTTTACTAGCTCATAAGCGGAAGTGTAAACGGACCATGGAGTATACGTTGTGAGTATAGAATCAAACGTTATAAGTACAATACATCATGAATCTGTTTCTAATTGTTATTTTAGCAACTTATCACCTAGACAGGAATGTTCGCGAAAGGCTCTCAGGGGCTGAACGAATTGAACTGGTGAGATACAATTACAGTTGCTTTAAATTATTAAATATACGAAAGGATTCATTTAGCTGTCTGACATCTAAATTTTCAAGTTTTTACACTTTAAGGGAAATATCGTATTCTTCTAATGTTTTAAATCAAATTGTCAGGCCCAATTTTATTTGCTTTAATACGAGTAAAAACAATGAGCCAAATGCAAAGGCAAGTATTCTTGCATTACAAAATACTTTCAAATTGGGAGTTTTGGAACCCATATGATTCAGATCATGCAAAAGAATAGCAAGGTAGTGATATATTTCCTCCAGAAGTTCTTAAATATATAATTATTACTTAACAATACAAATACAGTATAATAATCTCGACATGTCAATTGACAAAATTTTATTTTATTATTCCTAATATGATTCCTTATAATCTACAAAGCGTTACATTGCTGTTTGATAATATATTTTACATTTTCTTAAAAACATATTTATGTTTTTATTCGCTTTAACATTTATCAGTTCATAATGTAATTTGTTATATTTTTAGATTTACAATCATGTTATGTTATCTATTCGTGCCCATCATTGCACTTTCTTATACATTTGGTATGTAAAGATTTCAATTATCTTAGTAGCTATACATTTTATTTTTATATCCTTCTAGAAACATTATTCAGACAGACATTACCAGTTTGATGAATGGTGACCTTAAAATCTATGACTCTGTCGATAACGGCAGTGCATGGTGATACTAATGAACTCTTGAATAATCTTATAATTGGATTGGCGATTAAGTCAAACATAGACTACAATCAAATCATTGTCTGAGATTAATTACATATCACCATATTTTCGACATTTTCATGACATTATTTTCTGTGATACATTGTCTGAGCTGTGTAGATTACATTTATTATTGCTGTCATTATATAATAATTATATAGACGTTTTTATTAGTGTTTATTTCATTTTGATATACTTGTTTCTGTTGTAACAATGCAAAATAAAGAAAACATGAAACAATTGTTATTTATTTTGGAAACAAATCTTATGTAAACAAGTCTTACCAACAGACATTAGAACGTGTAAATGCACTTAAAAAGAAGATGCTGAAATGTTCATGAATAAAAAGACCTGTGCATGGAAATCAGACCAAGGAACAATTAAAAATTTCATCGGTTATTGCATAATTCAAGGTAATACATATAAAACACGAACCTTCTTCTATGGCGCAGTACCTTCAATTATTTCACACCTCATTTAATGTTATCAATGAACGTCTAGGGCTTGCACCATGTGCCATAATAAAACGCATAATATGATTCAACGTTACGAATATGGCCTTGTTTTAATATGAACATTTTATAATTATTTTTATGAAAAATGTTTTTTCCTCATGAATTTGATATTTATAAAGAATAAAATGATAAAATTTTAAACCAAAGATAGTATTAAAACAATGATATTATCATACAAATGAAAGTATGAAACCAATAATTATATTCAGTACTAAATATTTACGAAGAAAACAATTTCTTTGATCATTTTAATAATGTAACAATAGGAACTGTTGTAGCAACATTAAAAGTTGTTGGCTAAAATCCATTTCTTCGTAACTTCAAAAGATACAAATAATAATATTGTTATAATTTTAGAAAGCTAAGAATGTAAATTAAATGTTTCAGTTACCTTTCTTTGAAGTGATAGTCTATCGTATCTAAGAGAAGAGTTTAAATTGTATTTATTATATTGAATAAGTGAATTGTGTACTTCTTCAATTGGTGCTCGCACACTTGAAGAGAAATCAAAATCTGAAAGAACAAAGTAAGCATATATTTCAACTGTATAACGATATTATATTACAGTAGTTACTGCGAATTCACTTATATTCTAGGGCATGAAATTTCGTGGTTTTATTAAAACGAGCATTTTCGTGGATTCTTAAATTTGTGGATTTTCAATTTATTATAAAAATTAAAATAACGTAATGTTAAGTAATATTACATTTAATCGCCGCGCATTTTTCTTCGCATGTACATATCTTTTTGTACCACACAACGCTTGTCCAGAAATTTAATCCTTGCTTCTGGGCATTCATTACACAAAAATCGGTGGAAAAGCGCAGATGCATATTTGTAATATATAAAATAGAGAGATGGCAAGAAGTATTCGTCGGATCTTACATTAGTGGATTGACCTAACCACGAAAACCACGAAAATTCGTGCCCCACGAATAATAATGATTTTACAATTGAAATAATGTAGCGCTGAGCATCCAGTTATATGTCGTAAAGGTAGCAAAAACAATCTGGAAATAAAGTGATCCCTCGGAAGCACTAATCAAAACAAAATTACATAAGAATTGCAGACTCGGTTTGATTGAGTCTGTACATGGGGGATAATGAATAAATGCAACATCCCTCACGGCCCCTGGCACCGGCTTGAGCGGTACTCAATTCGCAGCACTTAATAGTGCTCTCATCAATGATCCCGAAGGACCAGAAAAATATAACAACACTGAAGTGAAGTACGGGGCAACTTTTTACAGCTGCAACACAGCACTTGACACCTGCTGTTGTGAAGTATAAAAATCTGGAAAAAAGTGATCCCTCGGAAGCATTAATCACAAAAAATTACATAAGAATTGCAGACTCGGTTTGATTGAGTCTGTACAGGAGGGATCATGAATTAGTGCAATGTCCCTCACGCCCCCTAGCACCGGCTTTAGCGGTACTCAATTCTCAACACTTAATAGTGCTCTCATCAATGATCCCGAAGGACCAAAAAAATATAACAACACTGAAGTGAAGTACGGGGCAACTTTTTACAGCTGCAACACAGCACTTGACACCTGCTGTTGTGAAGTATAAAAATCTGGAAAGAAAGTGATCCCTCGGAAGCACTAATCACAGCAAAATTACATAAGAATTGCATACTCGGTTTGATTGAGTCTGAACATGAGGGATAATGAATAAGTGAAACATCCCTCACGCCCCCTAGTACCGGCTTGAGCGGTACTCAATTCTCAACACTTAATTCACTATGATTGAAACCAATTGCCAATAGCTCTTTAAATGCAAAAGTAAGCTCATTTATATAGGAAATGAGTGTAACAACAAGATACCCCCCAAAAAAAAACAGTTTTTAGAGATAGAAATGGCATAATGGACCTTTAAAGAATGTTTCTTCGCGCATGCGTTTGATATTGATGTTTCGATGTACTGTCAAAACGAGGGATATTTATTTACAAAGAAAATAGATAATTACAATATATACAAATATATTAGCACCTCACCTTTAGGTCTACGTTAACTTGTGTACAAAATGTACATGGTTTAGTGGTTACCATATCAGCCCATAGATGTAACTTTGATTCCCATAATCAAAGTTTAAATTATAATTGTCTTTCGAATGAGATATTTAACCGATGTCCCTACATTCTTTACGGCAATGAAACATCAATTCAAGGTTATAAACTTTGGTAACATCTAGAACGGTAGATATTTGTACTTTTTCACTTCGAGATATATTGACTAACGCACAAATGTAACGAGCCGCAAAAACCCTTGACTATGACTGATGAACGTTAATTCAACTCGTTGTGTAAAAAACCGCTTGATGCAGTGACATATGCTATTCAGAGGATATACAGTGCACTATTGAAAAAGAATTTCTGTAGTCATAAATATGTCTTTCTTACTCATATCTATTATCTTAGAAATAACTTTAAATGTTTTAATAGTCTATGAATTAAAATCATTTCTATTGTAGGGCTTGGTTATATTTATATTTCACTGCGCATTGAACAAACAGGTAATAATAATCAACCTTATTATTTCATATTGTATGAGGAGTTTATTTTGTTTATATATTATTATACAGTAATGTTATAGTACTGCCATTTTGAGAATCATGTTTTCATGTAACTAGTTCATTAGATAGTGTCAAATAATTATATTCATGGTTATCATAGCGAACTACATTATACCAGGAATGAAAGATTTCAATCAATCTTCTAACATGTTGTAATATTTGATATTAAATCTAAAAAGTCGCCTATTTTAGTGTTCCTAACAGAAGAATTTTGAAAAGAAAATTAGCTTATTAAGTAATAAGGTTTTTAGGAAAAATTATATAAAATCTACAAAGATAATAATTGCTTATTTTGTGTGTTGAACAGAAAAAATTTGAAAAACAAATTAAACTTGCCATAGTATATAGTGTATCAAATATATCATGTTAAATATTTGTATATTATTCAAAGTGACATTATTCCCATCCAAGGGTTTATAGTGAGTTAAAAAAGGTCTTAATTTATCATTAATTTCTTTCAAGTTTATAAATTTTATAATTTATTATTCATGAACAATTGATAATTCTTGTGGCTCAAGACATATGTATAAATACCTGTAACATTCTATTTTTAACAAAAAGTGGGCCAGTGTTTTTATATTAATATTTTAGGCAGATGTATACTTTATTCTTAGCATTTTCATATTTCACCAATTGTTAGTCAATAACCATTATAACAGGCAATATTTAAAATGTATGGTCAATTCAGGTCAACTTAACAATGAAAAACTGAGTGTGCAATTCTTATGTAATTTTCTTGTGATTAGTGTTTTGAACAGTAAAATTTGAACAGGAAATTTGCAATAGATATACTTGTTTCAAGTTCATCATGAAAATATTTGGTTTGTTTTGAAAGATACGCATGGCAAAAGAAAGACGATAAAGGAAGTATGCAAGCTCGTTGTTGACCAGCGCGTCAAGCAATAGTGAGAGTACATCTTATCTTTTTATGTGAAGTTTTTCTTTATTTCGTTTTCTAATTGGAATTTATTCGAGCTCATGTGCCAAAGATGCTTTGTAAATATGTTATTCATAACCTTCTTGATACAACTCCAACTGAGTTTTCAAACTCTAACATTTTAATAAGTGTCATAACCATTAGGTGCTTTATATTCAAGATGTATTATATTTCTAGAACTCCTTGCATTTTCTAGAAACTTTATATGTTTTTACATTAGTAGAATTAATATCATTTTCTAGAGTCGGGCCTGGTAATTTTCATATTTCACTGCACATTGAACAAACTTGCAATATGCTTTATATTCAAGATGTATTATATTTATAGAGTTCCTTGCAATTTCTAGAAATCAAATTAAATATAGCTAATCTAAATCATTCTAAGTTTGCATATTACAATTACATGCTTATTCACGATGCATACAAAATTGAATAAAACTATAAGACTTAGTACGATTTAGACAAATGAAACTTTGTTTTACTTAAGGTTTTCTCTATAAAATCAGTTTTCGACTTAAAGGTTTATAAGTATTTAAATTAATGTAACTGATGTGCTTTACATCTGCAAATATAACTACGTGCCATCTTTACCTAACTCTGAATAAAACTGCGACTAAAGACTGTCACTTTATATTTTGTTTTATGAGACTATCTGTCTAAAATATCTTACTCATCATGATTCACAAACTTGATCAGTATATATGAAATACTTCATAAAGCAAGAAATACATGTTCTTCCTTGGTTTCTACATTGTTAAAGTTGTCCGCGACTGCAACTGAATGTTGTTGTATTTTTTGACCTTTTAAATAATCAATTTAAGTACTTGAAGGGCCTTAGATTGAAAAAACATGCTCAAGCCCGAGCTAGGCTTCTTCCCATCATTCTTCGAAAACAAAGCCGATCAAACCGAGACAGAGATTTTGTTTTTATAGTTAGTTCCTGATTTAATTTACCTCCTTTGTGTGGTGGCTGATTTGTGACATTCGTGTTTTCATCCCTCTATGCCGCAAAGCGAAAAATCGCAAATTAACAAGTTAAAATGGCGGGGACGCAGAACGAAAACACGCAAATTAGCGAGGGTGCGGGCGAAGTTATATACATTAACTTCGCCCCGCGGGGGCGCGGAGTAAGATTTAAGAAATAAAACGGCGGGGTTACAAGACGAACACACGTTAGTACGCGGGGGCGTGCGTCGAAGTTTGATAAATAAAACTTTGCCGCGAACCACAGCTATTTGGCGTGTTTTCGTCCCATGACCCCGCCAAGCTAAAGGTCGATAATTAACAAGTCAAAATGACAGGTGGCGCGGAGCAAAAACACGCTAAAAAGCGAGGGCGCGGGTGAATATAATATATAAAACTTTGCCCCGCGGAGCCGTGGGGCGATATTTTAAGAATAAAACGGGGTGTGGGGTTGTCGCGGGACGAAAACACGCTAATTAGTGTAGACGCGGGGCGAATTTAAAAAAAATAAAACTTTGCAGCGCGCCCCCCGCTTAAAAGCGTGTTCCCGCCAAGCGAAAAGTCGAAATTAAGACGTTATCGCGGGGGAAAACAATAATGGCATAAATCAGCCACCAAACCTTTGCAAAAATGGAATCCATTCTTTGTGTCAATATTTAATATAATATTATTGACAAAATATGAAAAAAACAATATAAGAGCTGATTCAGGTGATTAATGAAATATTTCATACATATGAAAGCATCAATGTGTAAAAGATTTGTTTTCAGATTCCATAAAGAGATCAATATGAGAGATTTATTATCATATCCAGGGCATGATATATATTGGAAACGACCCTCAAATTGGCGACCAGAGGAAGTGATAGTTGTTATGTGAAAAGATCTATTAGTTTTTGTTTCATTCCTGCCGAGTTAAATTCCATTGACTAAAGTGTTATTCTGAACGCGTAAGTGCTAATCTAATGATATTTGTATAAATTGTAAAGCCTATAGTTTCTTTTCCATAAATAGTCGATTATTATTATATACAGATTATTTAAATACTTTTATTTTTCATTTCAGACCGCCTCCGTGGTCGATGGGTTAGATTTGATGACTTCTAATCCAGTTACCTCTCTGGCGTGGGTTCGATCCCCGGGAGATGCTTTGGTAGTTTAGCGCGGAGGAAGGTAGTCTAGTACTGGTGTAACTCTCCAGGAGCGATGGATAGGAAACTACCCGCCTATATGACTGAAATACTGTTGGAAAAAGGCGTAAAATGAAACAAACAAACAAACAAACAAACATTTCAGATATCTAGCGATAGTCTACATTCGTCGCTTAAACCCCTGTCACACTAGGACGGCGTTCTCACGCCGTCCACTGTAACTTTAGAACGCCGAGGTGAACGCAGTAAGATCGCAAACATCGCCGCAGCATCGCCGTAGCATCGTAGTGGAATCGCATAGAACGCCGACCGACGGTGTGCATTTTGAGCCAAAACAAACGCCGTCACTCAGCGTTCTGAAATGAGCTCAGTGGGATCGCAGCAAGGACGCCGTAGCAACTCAATAGCATCTCCTACAACGCAACAGGAGCGCCGTGAAAGCGCAAAAAGAACGCCGAATGAACGCGGTGGTTATCCAAGGCGCTTGTACGGAGTTTGTGCGGCGTCTTTACCGCGCTTATACTGCGTGTGCACGGCGCTTTTAGAGAGCTTTACGATTTCAGCGAAGTGTGAATGCCGAGAGAGCCCCGTATTAGCGCTGTAAAAGCGCAAAGAACGTTGTAGAAGCGTGATCAGAACGAGTGAAAGCGCAGTCTGGTGTGACAGGGCCTTTATGCAGATTTTTTTTGACCAGGACACGCGTAACATGAAACATAGTCGATATTTATGTTACTAAGTAAATGTAAAATGTGATGCCTCAAAGATGGAGTATAACTGATATTTCACACATTTGTACTAAACAAATCGAAAGTGTATTTTCATGTTAATATTTTGTTTTGTGTAGAAGTTTTTAAATGATAAGCAAATTTGAATCAGTCGAAGTACTATTGAACAATATACGTAAATAGAAATGGATGAATAACCGTACAAAATTCGTTAGCGATCAAAACATATTTTAGCATGGATTTCATGCTGCAAAATATATTAATAAATAAACATTTATCAAGAAAATATAGCATAGGACTTGCATAGTATATCCAAATAAGTTATCTGAAACTACTTCAAATGTTATGTGGAAATCGGGAAGAAAAAAAGCAATCATTTGAAAACCTTGTTCAGGATACTTTTAACTTGTGCAATAAAATTTAACTGTCATATTTTAATGGAATGACTTCAAGGCGTGAACGTCAGACAAACTGGCAAAACAGTACAATGATTTTAAATAAAATACATATAGTTATATGACCAAAATGATCATTTATTATACACTTCAATGTTTTCAATATGTTTGTACATACGCCATATTAACACATAAAAGATACACGCCAGTCGTCAAGCGATATACATCTGGGTCATTCTTTGAAATAAATTGTTGAAAGGAAACAAATTGAAGTGTTGACCTAACCTTATTGCAGACTCACCTCATTTTATTGTTTGCAAATCAGACTTGTTTTGTGTGTATATACATAACGATTAATACTTTCTTTGGTGCTTCTTTTAAATAAAAAAGCATATTCATTGAAGTATTATAATCATATCTTTATTTGTTATGTTATTATTATTATTCATGAATTATGTATGACTAATAATCAAGACAAAGAGAGTTGTAATAAGCAGTTATTAGTTCATAAATTATCCTTAGATAACTAGTCCGATGCGTTAAACACTCGACAATCCCACCACTGGTGCAGTTATTGTGTGTCCTTTATATACATACATGCTTATGTGATAATAAAATTTAATACTTGCATGTGTTATCTTTTTAATTTTTTTTGGAGAATCAGTGTAAACTGGTTTGTATAAACTCTGTCTTCTAAAACCAGTTGACTATACAATATTTTTGAAAATTAACCTAGATCTCTCTAAATGAATTTTAGTGAATATTTAAGGATCTGTCAAAGAATGTATGTTCATAAAAAATTAAAGACAACAATGGGAATTTCATATTGTATTTAAATTATTGCAAGTAATTTTATACGTTCATGAATTAGATATTTAAGAGTGTTGTAGAGATATTGTAGTTTAAGGGAGAAGTGTGGTAGCATAGGGATCAATTGATTGACTCTTAAAATAGGGCCCGTAAATGTATGTTTTACAGGTATCACGACCATGCTTGTTAGATGATATCAGTATTTGTTAGCTCCAGGAAAAAGATCTAAAGAGGGGATGAAATGAATGCAAAATATTTTCAAAATGGATCCTATATGTAAAGTAATAACTGAAGAAATACCTGAATACAGAAGCCAAAACACTTTCTGCTATAAAAGAGATACGACATATGAATTAATAGATTAATAATATTTTTCAATTTATTAACCGTGGAAGAGCAAATAAAGGTGATGTATACACCAGGAAAACGAAAAGAAAGTGTTTTAATCTTTGCAGATATTTCATACCATTTAAACATGGACTCCTGTTGTTGAGATAGAACGAAAATTAGGTAGCAATGAGGTCGCATTGCTGATCTTACTGCGCCATCTGGGTCTTTAGGAATTATATTTTTCTCTAGCTTGACATAAAAGGTATGAAAACACACACACACATCAGTTGAAGCATCATATTTCAAATACTTACTTCTAATGACAACAGAATCTTCTAAAAATGTACACAGAATATCTATATACATCCCAAATATTATAATAGAAAACAAACATTTACATTAAAACAGTTGGAATTTAAACTTTGAATCAATAGTAATGTAAGATAATGCAGTGGTAAGAAGACTTTAAACTTATCAAAATTACTTAAAATTTGAATTCTTTCACTGACATGAAGATTTCAAGATATATAGATAATCGATTCCCTTTAGCGACAGAAGTGAATCAGGAAGATACTTCACTGAAGTTGTGGTATTTTTCAATTTGTAATCTAAAAAATAATTTGCATTGATCTGGTCGATGAATTTGAGTATCTTTTTTATCTAAAGCACTTGGGCCATTTTATTTTTGAAGCGTTCAATATTTATTAGCTTGTTTGGATTTGAAATGGAAGGATATAAAGTTTTTCTTACCTCGTTCTTTGTAGTATACATGGGTATGAGTTTTGTGTCATTAAAAAATAGCTATAAAAATAAGTAATTATTATAAAAGAAATGTACAGCATTTAAAATCTTTAAAAAGGACTTGATTTTTAAAGTAAAAATGAATTTAATTCTGCCGAGAGTATTCAGAAAAGGTCTTATATTGCCGTTGTTTATCGAAAATGAATTATGATTGTATATCCGAGTTACATAATTCTTTTGTCTTACTAGTCTCATCGTTAATACGTTATTTTTATTCTAGTGTTTTTTTACACACGCTTGCTTATCATATGTATAAAAAATTCTGATATTATCTATAATTTCCATTTGAATGTTATTTTGAAATGAATATATATTAATATTCTAAAGTGGTACCATTTTACGTGAATACGAGGCTAATGGTAGAACCTGATTTTGTAAGCTCCTGGTATGATATGATAGCACAAGCTGGCACTAACACGACATTACTATCCATTGAGCATGGCCTTGGTGAAACACCCTTGCTTGTTGACGTGCAAGTCTATAATGATTTACATGACATTGTTTTTCCAGGGTCAGGTAATAAAATACTTTATTGTAATGTCCTCATAACTGAAATTCATGACCGAACAATAGGCTTTCTTTACAAAAAAATCCTTATAATTATATATCTTCCTACATGACAGTATTTTTCTTAGTGGCAATGCAGTACCTAAATTTATGTTTCTGGTGCAATTTATTTATTTTCAAGACAATTGCCGTCAAGAATAATCACGATTTCATAAATTAAATATATTTATATTTTCGTTCTTTTTTTCTTCCAGTATTAAAATTGGCCGAGCATTCAAACGTAGAACGGTATGTTTTCGCTTAGATCTGTGTTATATGTTTTATAGGTTGTCGTGCTAGAGATGATGATCAGCCAGAAGGATACGGCGGAATAATTTACATTTACAACGATGTTTACATTGAAATAAGTTCTCCGACGCAATCAAATGAAAATCTTGGTCGCTGTATATACACAGGTTTAATATCATATTTAATTCATTATTTTTTTTTGTGCAAAATATACAGATGCCATTTTGACAGGTATTTTTTATCTTTACTGTGCCTATAGAGCATGATTGATAATTTTTTTGGTGAAATGAAATATCAAGTATACTATGAGTACTCTGAAGCTTGAAAGAAAATTGTAAGTTTGCCCAACGGATACGTCTTTCATACATATGAATACTTAACAAACGACCTATAAAATATGTAAGTTTTAAGATCTATGAAAGTCATTTTTATAGAAATAATAACATTTGTTATTACTTTATGACAGACCATGAATTTTAAATCCTTTGAACAATTGACGCACTCATTAAACGGTTGCAAGTTGAAGAGCTGCTTATGGGTAGAATGGCTTTGCGTTATGTTTAGATAGCATTTACATATGGGTAAGAATTTACCTTCTTTAAGAAAAATTAACCTCAATATTTAAAGAGCTGTGACCATCTTGAAAATTGAATTGGAAAAAGGTTGGAAAAAATGTTGCAGCATAGAGCAGCTGAGAAAAAAATGTGTTGCAGGCAAGAACATCTATCTACTTTAGCTGGGTTTAGCTTGATAAATGGTAAAAAGCTTTCATTAAGCTCATCGGACGACAAACTGTTACAGTATTTGATATTTGTTTATTATGTGTGACTATGCTATTTGTCAATTCTCGTACCGCGACGCTCGACATTGTCAAACGAAATATCGCGATGTCGTTAAGTTATATTATGTAAAAAAGGGCGACATTTAGAAATGTCGCTTCGTGTTGTCAAGTGTCGATTCGTATTGTCGAGCGTTACTTCGAGTTGTCGCATTGTCATTTTGCGTTGTCGCATTGTCACTTCGCGTTATCGCATTGTCGCTTCGCGTTGTCGGGTGTCGGGATGAGCAGAAATACAGACCATAACACGCGACAATGCGATACGACGCTTGACAATTCGATACGACACACACCAACACGGAGCGATATTTTATAAAATGTCGCGATCTTTTTCTGACTGACTTTTACACTGCGACACGCTACAATGCAAAGCGACACACGACAATACGAAGCGACACTCGACAATGCGAAGCGATACTCGACAATGCGAAGCGACACTCAACAATGCGAAGCAACATTTTGACTAATATCGTTTCGTATTGTCTTGCGTCTACCGGTGACAGGTCAAAATTTAATACCACACCGGCAAGCGGTGCGATGTTAATTTGTTATAACAAGCGGCATGTCATCGTCAGAAGGTAATTTATTTTCCTTGCTGTATCATATTGAATTGCACCGCTTATTCCGGTGTGGTATTAAATTTTGTCATCGCTATGTCAATTCGCATTGTCGTGCGTTGACCCTTAAACGCGACGGACGACAAAATAAATGGCACGATAAGGACACCGTACCTTTGATCAAAGAAGTATGTATAAATAGGCAATCCTCATGTATAATTCTATAAATGAACCATCCTTTCCTATTTATATGAAAAATAAATTCCAAACAGTAAATGACAAACACAATTTTAACTTAAGATCTATACAAAATGAAAAACCAGCAGTACCTAAGCCAGAAACAGAATTCTTTAGAAAATCATATAATTAGTCTGGTCATAAGGTATGGAACAACATACCAAAACATATTCGAAATTCTGATACTCTTAGGAAATTTAAAGCCTCTTTTATCCAGTGGCAATTTTCTAACTAGTTGTTTGTACATATTGTTTCCAAAAACAATAATCTTATGTATCATATAAAATGTTTAATTAAAACTGTTAGAACAGCCCTCTAAATTTCTAACTCTTCAACATTGATCTACTTTCTTGGTACTTTCCATGCTGAAGTTATGAAAATGTCACTTCTCTATAATTATAAGAAAAAAATGTGTTTACTTATTTATTGTATTAATATGATGTTTCATGTACATATTTATGTTGTCTAAATGTTGATTGTATTTTTTGTTGTTTTGTATATCGGGGCCCGCATGGTAATGGGACCTGAATGTTTTAAATCCTAAAATTAAAAAGTTTTTACGTACTTCTTATGTATATATTTAAATGGCGTCATTTCCCCTATTTAAAACCTCCCCAAAATTGAACCCCTTTCAAACCCGTAATCGCCTTTTTAAATTTAGAAAATGGTTTATTTGTGTTTAAAAATTTATAATTATGAACTTGTGCAAAATTTTGAAAACATATGAAGCCATTTTTTTTTTATCCGGGAAAATTCCCATAGGGAAAATGGCCCAAATTTTCCCGACCCCGAAATTTGTTTAAACGCCGGACCCTTGGGAAAAAATTCCCGGGCCCCCTGAGATTTCGAAAAAGAAAGGAAATTTATTTAAGGAGGAAAACATATTTTGGAAACCTATCGATTACTATGTGTGTTTAAAAGTAGGGGGTTTAATTAAGGGGAAAAAAGTTATTTTGATTCTTCGTTTTCGTTAAAGAAAAACTTTTCCTTTTGTAGGTTTGTATTTATAGAAATTAAAAAAAACCCTGAGTGTTAATTTTCTTGATTAAAAATCTAAAATTGATAATAATTTTAAAAAGACAACATTATTTTCAAAAAGGGGAATTATGTTGTTCCCGAGCCGTTTTTAAATTCAATTAGTAAAAGTTTAAACGGGTTTAAAAATAAAAAAACCAAAAAAACCCGGAATGGTTAAATTTAAATTTCCGGACCCCCCAAAATTTTAAAAACCAGCAAAAAGGGGCAGGGGCAAAACCATTTTTATTTCAAAATTTTAAAGGAGCAGGGGTTTAAAGTCCTTTTAAGCGATTAATGTACTTTTTAATTCTTTGGGAGGGAAATAAAAATAGAAATTTAAAACTGTCCGGTTTTTGGAAATATAGAGGTAACAAAAAAATATAAAATTTTTAAAGAAATAAAATTAAAAGGGGCATTTCTAGTGGGGGAAAGGGGCCCTTTAAAATGAATATAAAAACCCAAAAGATATAAAATTTAAACCCCCAATTGAATGTTTTTAAAATTTTTATGATAGTAAAAAATTTAAATTATTACAATGAAAAAAATTTTCAGTCGGTTAAAAAGAATAAATTTTTTTGAAAAATCAAATAAATTATATATGTAAAATGAGTTTTTGAAAAGGTTGGGAATGTGCCCTTTAAAATGTTTTAAAACCCTTTTTGGAAAAAGGGTAAAAAAAAGGGTTTTAATACTTTTAACAAAATGTTTGGGGCTTTTCGCCCTCGTGTTTTGTAGGTAATTGGTTTTTTTTTAAGCTTTTAAATTGTTTGATTTTTAAACTCTGTACGTCTGGGAAAAAAGTCTTTAAAAAGATAAAACTTGATACTTTAGGTAATTCAAAATTTTAACCAATTTCATTTAAAAAATTAATTTTTTTGTTAAAGTTTCAGAACATATTTTAAAGGAACCCTAATGGATAGGTATTACCCTTATTGGTGATATCAAAAAACTAAGTTTCCATGTCTAGGGAAAACATATCCTGTTTTATTTATTTTTGATTCTTTTGGAAAGGAAAATGTTTTTAAAAAATTTGGGAATATGATGTTATAAAATGTTTGTATGTTGATATACCACTGTTTAAATTAAAAACACTAAAAAAAGGTTTTTTAAAAAACGTTTTTAAAACATAGGGGTCTAAATTTAAATTTGAAACAATCCAAACGGGAATTTTTTGGCAGTCCCAAATTTAAAATTTTTTCCCCAAAATAAAAAACAAATTAAAATTTTTTTGTTTTTAAAATGTTTATTTTTTAGATATGGTTAAAACATATGATTTATGTTTTGGTAAGTTGATATCTAAATAAATTTATTTTGAAAAAAATTTTGATTAACGTAGCGTTTGCGTTAAAAAGAACCTAATGAAACTTTTTAAAGTTATTTTTTTTAAAAGAACGCTGTATGGAAAAATTTAAATATACTTTTAAACTTTTTGTGGTTTTTTTATAAAAAAAAGGGTTTGTTTTTTGAAAAAAAATTTAAAAATTTTAAAGTTTTTTTGAGGTTAATATGGAGGGAAATATATCTTTTTTGTGTTCAAAAATGACTTTCCCTAAAAAACCCCCCATCGTTTGGTTTTAGGTCTTTAAAAAAACCCGGGCCCCAAAAAAAGAATATATTAAAAACAAAAAAACATGTAAACTTATGCAATTCAAAAATTTAAACGGTGAAAATGAAATTGGGAAAAACACAATTTAAAAAATCATCTTTGCAAATACAGATTTTTTGTTGTCAGCCTTAGATGCGACCTTCGTCAAATTAAAATTACTTGGTTTCTGGTTTTAAATATTTTCAGTTTCAGTTTCAGTTTATTCAGTTTCAGTTTATTTCTAGTAATATAGGCCTCAGGCCCAAAATACAAAGTACAACAATACATCAAACAGTAGAGTGATAAAATTGCAAATACATTTGTTACTAGATGTAATGAATTGAATTTGTAAATAATTATACAGTATTTATCTCTTCCTTTCTTACATTCATTGCATAATATATATATTTAGCAATAGATATTACTTCATTTATTATTGTTGATGACATGAAAGAATAAAATAAATGGTGGGAAATGATGATGTAACCATGTATCTTTAAAATAGACAGCTCTGATATTGTTTATATAGTGAACATTCAAAAGAAAAAATGATATTCATCCTCAATAACATAAATATTTTGTCTTTAGGCAATGAAAGCAATATCTTAAAATCTCTATCTATTCCAATGTGTCTACCTTCTCTATCATAAGATTATGACATGAACAGCGAAAATTAGAAAAAGCTCTTCTTATACTTTATATGCTAAATCTTAAACTTAAATAATCGTTAAAACTTTAAGAAAAGTTTAAAGTATTGTAATGTAATGTTTAAAGGAAAAGATAACACATTTGCCATTTTGTGAAAAAAAATAAAATAAGCGTTGTTTAAAAGATTAATGTTTAAAAGTATCCCGACATCATAAAAGGACCCATAGAAACCCAAAAACCATTTTAAAAAAAGAATTTTTAATGTTGCCACCCCTTTTTTTCCGCCCCAGATTCGGTAGTCTTTTTTAACATAAAATAAAATTTTTTTGGGTACTTTGATGCTCCAAAACGGTCTTTTTAAAACCAGTATTTAACACAATTTGTCCATATAGATAGTAAAGGGGTTTAATTTTCCCACTTCCCCAAGAGCAAAATAGTTGTTGTATTTTGTCAAGTTAAAATATTGTTTTTACAAGAATTTAACTTGTACAGATTCAATCTTATCAACATAATTATAACCCAGATTTTCTGACGCATAACACAATATAGGTTTTTTACCAATTGAATCAAAAATTTTGAACATATCAATAGGATCAATGTGACCAAATTGTCTTTGAAAATTTGAATATACAAGCAGAAGCTTTAAGTCCTTGTAGTGCAAGCATCTCTTGTGTTTTGGACCATACTTACTTTGGTGTGAAAAATACACCTAAATATTTGTAAAATTGAACAACTTCAATAGGTTCATTATTAAACAACCATTTTTCAGTTTGTTTTCAAAAACACCGCCATTTCTAAAAACAATGAATTTTTCGTTTTGCTTAAGTTTATCTTCATCTTAACAGATTTACAATAATCGTCAATATAATTTATTTTGCTGCTGTAGATTTATAACGGTGTCAGGAAAGCTAGAAACATCATCAGCAAACAAAAATAGCAATTAACTCTTCAATGTCATTGGATACAAAATACCTGCTATTACATTTTTCATGCAAAAAGTAAACTAGATCATTTATGAAAAGTGAAAAAATTATCGACTTCCAACACAGCCCTGCTTGTTCCAGTATTACATGAGAAGAAGCTTGTTAGTTTGTCATCAACTTTAAACAACATGATTTTAAGTTCTTTGCATTACATAGATTTTATAATTATTAAAAATTTTCCATTTGATCTTATTTTCCTAGAAAAAGCGTCCATAAATTGTTTGATGCTGAATACTTTCAAAGCTTTTGGCAAAAATCTATGTATATACAATAAAATCTACCCCGTTTCTTCGACAGGTACTTCTGGATAAAGACATAAAGAAGTAAAAATATTATCAATTGTTGAATAGCCTTTCCTAAATCCAGCTTGAGCCTCATCAATTACATTGTAGTTTATCAACCATTTAGTAGCCCGAATATTTTAAATATTAAAAAATTTTTTACAAAGGGAACCCCTTTTAAAAGAAATCCCTGAAAATTTTTGGATTGATTTAAAATCTTTTTTATTTTTGGGAGTGAAAAAAACTTTGACTCCATTTTCGGGGAAGTTTTGGGTTTTCAAAAAATTTTTTAAAAAAGAGCTTTCAAAAAGGGAAAAATTTTTGAATAGAATTTTTGGGTAAATTTCTAAGCGGGACCCCATCGGTCGGCGCCGGTTGGGCAAGAAATGGTCTATATTTGCACTATTTCAGTTTCAGTTTAGGAAACTTTTAATTTTTCGTCAAATTTTAAGTAATCAGATTTACTTTTTGACCAGGGCTGCTCATCGATAAAACTTTTTTTCCCCAGTTAAGGTTTTAAAGAGAAATTTTTAAAATTTACTTTATTCCCTTTTAAATTAAAAGAATTGCATTTTCTTTATTTTTCCCTTTTTAAAAATTTTCCCGGGAACTTTTTTGGCTTTTTTCCCCTGAAATAAACCCAAACAGCTTCCGTTTAGTTTGCAGTGAAAAAAAATTTTTTTTTGCATAGTGTTTTTAAAATTTGTTTTGGACGTTTTATATTTTATTTAAATCATTTTTCTTTCATTTGAAACCCCGGGAAGGGTTTTTTTTATTTTTAGAATTTTACATTGGTTTCCCAACCCCAATGGTTTAATGAACGTTTTTTGTGGTTTTTAAATTTTTATCATCTGCGAAATTTTAAAATATCTAAAAAATCTGTAAAAAAGGGAAAGTTCTTTCTGGGGATTAATCGTATTATCAAATTGTTTTAAACTTAGGCGTAAAAATTTTATAAAAATTTTTTTTGAAATTTGGGTTTCCCCTTTACTTTAGCCATGGTGACATATTTCACCCTTTTAGAAATTTTAAATGATTTTGATAAATATAAAAAGGGAAAGGGAAAAAGGGAAATAATAGGGAAAAAGTACAGATTTGTCTTAATTTAACTTTTAAAAAAGTTTTAAAATTTTTAAAAAAATTAGTAAGTAGTGCCCTATAACTAAAATGGCTCCTTTTTGCAAAAAGTTAGTTACCCGGAATATATTTAAAATTTCCCCTTAAAAAAAATGTATACATAAAATTTAAAAAAAAAAAATAATTTTAATCCCAAAAAAATTAAAATCTGTATCTTTAAAAAATTAGGGAAAATTAAAACATCTTTTTGGGGAAAGGTACAACCCTACCAAAAAAATAAACAAAAGATTATCATCTAAACAAAATCATTTTAAAATTTTTTTAAAGTAATTTAAAAACTCCCGCCAAAAAAAAATTTTGGGATCGGTAATTTTTCCTTTATTTTGACTAATCTTGTATTCAAAATTTCAATACCATTTATTATCTTCAATCGAATAATTTTGTAGATCTATAAACTCAGATCAATGGATAAGATACCATTCGCGTTTTTTAAATTTTAAATGTAATGTTTTAATATACTGATAGGTTCTTCATTTGGGGAATGTAGACAGCAACTCAACTCAGAACTTTTTGTTGTGGGTACGGATTTAGCCCCAATGAAACTATTAGAGTTTGGGCACCGAACGTCTGAAGCTGAAATTGTAAGTTACTTTTAAGTTAGGTTTAACCTAATGGAAATTAAAATTTATAAATAGTAAAATAATAATAAATGATGATGATGATTGATGATGGATGATGATGATAATGTTAATGATGATACTAATAATGGCAAAGCGGCAAAGAAGAACAATAACACTTATAATGATAAATTTTGGGTAAAAATGAAACACAATATTGCTTAATATTTGGACTGGTAAAATAATAACAATATATATTTAAAATTTTGATAAGGGTTTTAAATTAAAATTTAAAAAAAAAAATTGCGCAACGAAACAAATTTTTATTCTCAGACAAAAATCCCCAAATATAATTTAAAAGATTTTTAGGGTTTAAAATGGTTTTCTATATAATACTTTTTTTATTTTTTTGTTTAACCAAGCCCAAAATTTTTACAAAAAAAATTAATGGGAAAATTATGTATGTGATATTCCCCAAGAGAATTTCCCTTTTAAAAATTCCCGACTCAGAATAAATTTCATTCTAAAATTTAAAAAAAATCCCGATATAAATGTTATCAATTAAAAAGACCAAATAAACAAGTTTTAAATTTGTCTTATTTTTTAACCCTAATGAAACTAGTATTAATTTTAATGGGTTTAAAAATTTAGGTCAATTTAAATTTAAAATTTAAAAATGTTTAAATTTTGGTGGGGGTTTGGAGTAACTATTGTAATGATAAAGGCAGTTATGAAAATTTTCAAATTAAGATATGTATTGATTAATAATACAATTTATAGATAGCACTTGGAGATAATGGCACAAGTAATTGTGTCTTTATTAATAAAATGAAACACGGGAAACATCGGATCTGGAATGTATGCTTTATGGTCAGTATAGTGTTTGATCACCCTATTTAGTGCTTCTGCAGATCCATATACATAATGCACGGAAGAAGGTAATTAACTCTCTATTAATAATGCATTTTTTTTGCAGATTGTATTCGCTGGATAGATGGTTGGAATTTTAATGCTGTTAAGAAGGAACTTTGGAATTGTATGCATGGAGGAATTCATCGTTAACTACGTCTTTTACATATCAAACTACGTTTTTCTCTTGGTCAAATCTAAGAATAAGAAATATCGATATCACTAGGGAAGTTTTTTAAAGCTGGGTAAATAAAAAAACATTGTGACTATGAAAATAACCTTTTTATGAATTGTTGATCAGAAGATAATCTTTTTAAAATAGGAAGAAATGTTTTTATTTCATGTAACATTTTGTTTCCCTTTTAAATAAAATATAATGACTAATATCAAATATGCTGAAATCTTAGAAACAAAGGTCTTTATAAAACGAACACATATCATACAAATCTTTACTCCCCAACCAAGAAATTTAAAGACTGTAAACGGGAATTATTTATATAGTCAAAATGAATATTTTTTGGGGTTTGTAAATCATTATTTTTAGGTTCAAGCCCAACCAATCTGGAGTTAAATTCCAGGTTTCCCGGTTTGTTGGTAATGGGGAAATTTCGGCTTACGACGAGTTAAAACGGGCCGCTGGTTGTAGCTACAGGTGGACTTGTTTACGCATATGATGCTATGATATATACTTTTTGGCAGACCTGGTCCAGGAAGCGGGACCTAATGGTGCTTTGGGGTTTTTATAAACAATGGGAAAGGGAGGAGGAAAAAAAAGTTAAGCAGTAACGACGGGTTATTTTTTTCTCTTTATGGGGTCCCGGTTATTTTCATTTTTTTGAATTTTTATAGAAATTTTTTTTATTAAAAATGAAGTTGGGTTTTTTTTAAAACGCGTTATGCAATAAGTTTGATATTACCATATGCACTGTCTATCTAAAGAATCTCTTTCTATCGTAGGCCTTAAGATAATAAGATGCAACAAAACTTTACATTTTTTGTAACCTTTCGTAAATAAAAGCGTTTTAACATTTAACTTCCATCCGGCATCATAGTATATTTACAATAACATATTGTGTATATATATTTTGTATCATAGCAGAATAGTACTAAAACTATTAAGTATAAAATGTGTTGTTTAATAAGAGGTTAATACACGACAGGAGAGGGCCGGAAGGTGATAATCGGTCCGCGAAATGAATAATGGTCCCGAGGGCTTACTCTGACGTGTATCAATGTTTTTAATACACTTGGTATATCTAATAGTAGCATTTTTAAAAAGCAAAACAAAAAAACAACAACAAATACTTTGAAGTTCTTTCGTTGAAATTCTTGTCTACTCTTCTACTGTTCTGTACAGAGACGTTTACTGTTTGTGTGTTCAAAGCAGTACAGTAGAATCTAGAAGCAAGTTTCATTTTCCTTTTTTTTCGGAATGATCGAATTTGTCGTATTATTTCTTCAAATTTCAATAGTAACAAAAATGTGTTTGTACTAAATACGCTAAAACTCTAGAAATAAAGCGATTCGTGCTGACAACCTACTTTCACTTTTACAGTTAACTGTTTGATGACGTAAAATATGACGTCATGGTTTCAGTTTGTGCACGTGCACATGTTCTGCGGGCTGATAACTAGTTCTCGGCCCCGGGCCGCAAACTCATAATAGGTCACGTGACACTCATAATCAGTTGAAATCATAGGCAATTTTGTTACTATATATAGTAACAAGTGTATTAAATATCGTTAATAAGAGTTTGAAAAAATTATCTTCAATAAAGCATAAAAGGTATATGATATTATCAATTTCCTTTTGATTTTGCACAAAAAATGAGAAGTAGACCATTTATGTGCTTGTTATTATTTTGTTACAGCGTTAGGTAGAATATACCTTCAGCGAGATAAAGAAAGTAATGATTGACTCTTAGTTACTTGTTACTTGTAACTGAAATTAAAATTGTTCGTATGCATATAAATTCAATAGTACGATTTCTCATTTTTTTTAGATTTATTAAGAATGCAGGTACTAAAAGAAGATTGATATTAACGCTCCTTTCGCTCTCAAATCGGGCTACGAGTAGCACAAAAAAAATAGGATTGTCAATTCATTTCTGAGTAAAATTAATTACTCTCCTTGTATACATTTATGTGCCCTAGCTGAATTAAAAATACATGTCGTTAGGCTTTAGGACCTAAGAGGACTTTCTTTAAAGCATCACAATGAAATTAATAGAAAATTACACAATCATGTATTTAAAAAGAAAAAAAGAAATATTCCACACTTATTTAAGAAATAACACTTAAAAGTGATTTATTTTGTCACCACTGTGGCCCCTGTCATCAAATGCTCTGAAAAATGTCTTTTGTTGTAAAACAATTTATTAAACGTTTTAGCTGTTGCATTACATGTAAAATTCCTTATGGGTATTATTATATTTAATCGATTTTAGTAAGATTACATGTATCAGTTGATCAACAAAGGGGCATTTCAAAAAAATTATATGCGTCATCAGAACAATAAGAATATTCAGCAGGTCTGTATTCATTGCTTTTTTTAAACGAAATGTTAGAAAACATTTAACAGACTTCACTGGGCCTTTTTACATGATTGGACTAAAAATATTTTTTGGAGATCGATGTTCATTTTGATGTAGGTCTAACCTTATAACTTTTATACCTCATTTCAGATCATTTACTCACTACGTTTTGCTTCCAAATTAATCATTCAAATTGTAAAAAACGACACAAAACTTAGATCGGGCTAAGAATAGCACAAAAAATACGATTCCAATTTGTTTTGTGTATGTTTATTATCAATTATCTTTTCATATTTTTCTGTTTAAGTGTCACAGTTGATCTTTGTGTGAAATCTTAACTTAAATTTTATTTTTAGGTTTTGGCCCGCTTAAAGGGAGTTTTTTTAATGAAAAGTGTAAAAATTTTTAACTTTCTTTTACCGATCATAGAAAAATTTACCCGAAAAAAGTGATTTAACATTATTAATAAGGTTTGTCCCTACGTTTTCCCGTTTTAAAACAAAGGAAGGGTAAATGATTTCCCAAACTAAAGCGTCATACTTGTTTTTTTTTGTTCAACCTGGTGGATTATCTGAAATAGTTCCTTTGAAAAGAAAAAAGTTTTTTTAAATTTTAAAATCTAAAAGCCCGGTTAGAACTTTTAAACTTAAAAAATTTAGGGTTTTAATTTCACAATTAAAACGTTTAAATTTTGAATTCCTTTTTAATTTCAAAACTCATGTTTCAACAATTCATGACATGAATACTTTTTAAAGTTCATTATTTTTATGTTTTTCTTGAATTTGTGACTTTTTCATGAAGTTTCTTTGGAATTAATAAAATTAAATTTTTTTTTAGGTAAAAACATAAATTTATTATTTTAAAAATTGTGTTTTAAAGGTATAATGGTAATTTACAAATTAAAAAGTAAATTCACATAATGATGTTTTTATCGTATTTGTGGTTGTATTGATGAAAATTATATATTAAAGGTTTCAATGTCCCCATTTGGGCCCTTTGGAAATTCTATGTTTTGCCCATCACGTAAACCGGTATATATTGCATTAAAGTTATTAAATTTAATTTTAAAATGATTTTTATTCAAAACAGATTCACGAAAAAAAGCACAAGAAGGGCTCTGTCGATGCAGATGCAGATGCAAAGAAAAAAATTATGAAAATTAGAAAATGCCCCCATTTGTAGACGAGTCCCTTAAGGAAAATTTAAAGGGAAAAAGGGGCAAAAAAAAGAGATCTGGAAAATATTTAAATAAAAAATATAAATTCTGACTGTAGCGAATCTTATTGACATAAATAATTTCTATAAACCTTTTTAAAGAATTGCATGCAGAATTAAAAATTGTTGAGGAAGTAACTGTATATTTTTTTTTACTGATTTGAATCTCATTTGAAATTAATGAACTTTATATTGACTATTTTTTTTTCAACAAAAATGGACCATAAAATTGTTTTCACTTATCGGATGACATGGAATAGTGTGTGAAAACTCACGCCCTTACGTTCAAGTTTTCACGCTCCGCTAAACGTTCCGTCGCGCTCCCGATGAATGGGAATAACGGCCTTACAGTCGCGATCCTCACACA